TTAATTTTTTCTTCCCGGTACAATATGCTTTATTGACTTGCCGATCAAATAGTTATAATGATCCAACGCGCGGATATTTTATAGGACATATTTTCCGAGCGCGCGGTTATCGGTGAAATTACACGCTTCACTTTTTTATTAGACTAAATTAAATCTCAATGCGCGTGCGTATCGTATTTAATATCGTAATATTTGTTAAAGCCCACTTTAAACGATCTATAAATTGCGCAACGAAATTCGCAACAAAATTATATTTTTAATTTTACTATAAATAATACACATTTCAAGTAAAATATACATACATGTATAAAATATATATCAATGCACATAAAATTATACAGGTAGATTCTATCTTAAATTTTATCGCGAATCATAAATCTAAAAAGATGCAATGTCATTTGCATTCCTATTTAAATGATTTACAAATATAGTTAATAATTAAATTTTAAATAAATTATAATAATTTATAATATTTATTATTATACATTAATTTATATATATATATATATATATATATATATATATATTTATTACATCAATAAATCATATCTAAAAGTAATAAAGTAAATAAATCATATATAAAATATTTTTTACATTTTTTACAAGATTAATTAGAGTAATAAGCAACATTCATCATTTTTAAAAGAATATTGAAATTGCGCATATGTGTATACACATGTATAATAACTGACTTAATTACAGATATTAATAATTAATTTCATATAAATGATCTATATGAATAAATTCACTTCATTTAAATGGGAAACATATTATTTGATGTAAATAGTAATTGCTGTATTAATTGCGCCGTAGTACTTACAACGACGAAAAATTAATATATTAATCAGAGTTTGCAATTGAATCCCATGTGTATAATCGAAAATCGAGATTTACTTCGATAATAATCTTGCCGGTCAATTAAGTGATTAATTCGAAATTGATCAAAATCGAACTGTTGGCGAATATCAGTTGCATCGCCGCGAATCTAGCGAATCTCGAATAATCATAGCGGAACTGAAATCTCTATGGAATATCAATACATCTCAAAGGATTAATATGGATATAAAAAAATATAGATACAGACCAAATTTATATGAACCTTGAAAAATATGACGAGTTATCTTTTTTTTTATCTCTCTTTCTCTTTCTGTCTTTCGTTAAATAAGACCATATCCCTAAGTAATGTATAAACTTTTGCCATTGGTGAGACGAGCTCGAAAAGATAAAACGCCGCTCATGAATATGCATCGCGCACATTTCAGCCAGACGTCGGGGATCATACCGTATTAGAATGGTGCGACAATTTTCATCCGTGATGAAGAAGATTTCAAAGTGCAAAAATGTGGACATATTTATGATTTATAGTTGCGCTCTCTCAATCGCGGTATTAAAGGTTAAATTTTCAACCGAGGATAGAGCGTGAAATGTTAAGCCTGACTTTTTTTTTTTTTTCGAGATTCCTTTCTGCTTTTTTCCTTCTCTCGGTGCACATTTTTATTAAGATAATTTAATTTCCACCATAATAAAAACTCGTTAATTTCAATCGAGTTTATCGAAAAAAAAAAAAAGAAAGTGAAGAAGATATACTCTTATAATATTGAACAAGGGTAATCGAGTTAACAATGCAAATATGAATTATTAATGTTTTATTCATTATCGCGGCTCTTTATGACATATCTGTCGGGGAACCTCATTGGAGGTACTTTAATTGAAAATATGAAAAATTTTTTATAACGAGAAAATTTAAATTTATCGAAGAGGTTACAGGAGATCGGTTTAATTTTACAGCAGTCCCACTGTAAACCTAAACTCTCATTTATCGTTTACATATACCACTTTACGCTGCGCAATTCCGCCTTAAGGTACTTTAGGAGTCGGAATGCGGGGCACGCGAGCACTAAGCTTCTCTACGGGATCACCAACGTCCGTCTTTGTAGGTCGAATTTTCGAGTTCGTGAATTATTTTAATCCCTCCGGGAATATCCCTCGGGGATATTTCAATAGTTTGCGCTAAAGCGGTAACGTATATACCGCGTATCGACGCCTAGAATAAATGGCAGGAAATGAGATGGGAGCTTTGCGTAAAACTGGCCCGCTCCTAAGAAGTTGATGCCTTTAATTGAAGACGCCGTCGAGATCGAGTTTATCTTCCGACCTGTCGGCTTGCATAATTTACGGGCACGGCATAATCTGCAATTTGGATCGGAAAATTGTTCGCTTCTAGGAAATTGTTTGAGAAATGGCGAACTTTGACGTCTCTTTGACAGCGACGTCTTCTACCGTGCCGGCGACTTTCAACTTTACGGATTGAATTTTGAAAAGGTCTAAGTTTTCGGCGAGAAGAGCAAAGTCCCCGCAAGGTACAGCGACTTAATTAATTAGCGAAATAAAACGAACTTTCTTCATCAAGTATTATCCGCGTCTGGGCCGCGTGTACTAAATTAAAAGGTATCCTCTATTAGATAGCCACTTTACTTAGCGCTCTGAAAATGTAATCGAGCACTTTCCGAGTCTTAATCTTATTCTATTAAGCATTATTTAATTTATGTAATTATGAAATTTATAAGTTTCTTTTTAGAGAGTCGAGAAAAAAGAAATTACTGGAAAAATAAAAAATTGTTGGAATTAAAAGAGTTACAAGGGAAGGGAAGAGGAGGAGCGATTAATTCGCAAAAATATCCGCTGAAAATAGAGATCTTACTCGATTACAACCAACTTGGAATAGTAATGGATTAAGTCATTAGAGAGAGAAAGAAAAGGAGAGAGCGTTTTGTCGGGACCAAGCGAATTTTCGAGTCTACGATAACAACAAATTTCGCGGGCCGCGAAATTTCCGAATTCCGGTATTCGTCGGTAACGATCCCAAATTGCCAACTCGCACTGGTGATATTTGGCCGCGAACACGTTGTTTTCCCAAATTGCACTCTCGGACATGTGTACATCTGCGGAAATATCGGAATGGCCGAATGGCAATACCGAGAAAAATCCCTTTCGATAATTGTGGAATTTCAAGCCAAATGTCAGAGCGAGTTCGAATTCGATAAATGGTCGAATCGGAATTCCCGGGTATTTTATAATGAAATTTTACATTGACACATTGTGTGCGCATCTCTATGTATTCAGAATTATTGTATTCTTTCACCGATGATATATTATATAATAAAAAAGAGAGCACATGTCAAAAATGAGCGGATGATATTGGATATAATATTTAAAATCCGGATTATCCATATATCCGTCTATAAAGATTAAATAGAGAATTAAATAGAGAAATATAAATTGCGATAAAAAGCAATTATAATTTTATGCATTGCTCATATAATATATGCTTCTAACATATCAACATATTTTTGTATATGATTAACATGTGCGGTGTACAATTCATTTTTTCTGTTTTACTTGTAACACGCATAAAATTATACGTGAACATTCGCCCTGAATTTTCGTCGCGAATTATAGATCCGTCTAAAGCGGGATTTGGCGCGCGATTATGCCTCTTTATTTATTGAATGTGCAAATTATTTCCGGGCTAATATCGACTTATCTGAAGCTAATAAACGCACTCTTCCGGCTGTATGATCAGCCTATAAACATATTACCGATAACAGCGTCTATGCGGCGCGTAGAAATTCGTTGGTAACTCGAGTTAAAGCTCGCACGTATGCATATGTATGAGCCAATTAACGGTTGAACGAGTAATAACGTATTTCCCGATTCAGATGGTTGTATTATATTGTTTTACGCTCAAGTTTATGCGAGTTCCAAACTTGCTCGATAAACGATATTAATTTCTTAAACAGCCAAAATAATCATTTTCCAAAAAATGAGCAAATGAATTACCGCGAAATTTCTCTGCGAATTTTTGCTTCGTGCAATTCTTGGGAAGCAAATTTTTAAAAATCAATCGTATCTAGTTTCAGCGAATGATCGAACAAATGTCTCGCGTACTTCATATTCGATTTTCGCTCGAAAAGCTCTCCTTTATCTTTCATTTATCGTATCTTTAACGATCTTATTCGTATATTTTATTATTATTTTTTTTTAATACAAACACAAAGCGATTCGCGATTCGTGATTCTCGCATTTTGAATATCGTCGATGGGAGTAAAATGGCACGTTTGATCAGATGTATACCGTCAGCGATCAGGGGGTTTTACGAGTTTGGCAGAAGAGTTCCGCAGCTGGAACATTATTACCGGAACAAAGCTCTCGGGGTAATTCCCTCGGGTGTTCTTAAAAACACGCTCGTCTCGAAAAACTTCTCGCGGATCTCGATAACTCGCTAGTCTCTGCTCGCCAAGCGCTAACATCCACTAGAATTATATCGGCCTCGCGAATTCCGAGCACGTAAAACGGCCACATAGCTTGAATGAAAAAAAAAGGCACTGCGCCTTTTGAAAGAGCGTAAGCGTATCTTGAATTCGCGAAAAATTTTGCACCATAAATTATGCCAGGGATTTGCGCATTAGGCGTTTATGGGGATTCCCGGCGATGAGGAATTCGCTCGGAGAAGGTACCGACACGCTCGCAACATTCCTACTCGTTATTTGCGACAACGAATGGCTTCCTGCTATTATGTAGTCGGTAAATAAGTGCTCGATAGAAAGGGAGGAAGAGAGAAAGAAGCATGGAAAATTTCTCAGCAATTTCGCGCGATCGGATTCCGACAAACTAATTCCATTTTATTAATTTTTTTTCTTAATTTCCTTAACTTCTCGCTCCAAAATTGCTAAAATTGCCTGTGAATATTTTTTTACTTACAATTAACGAGAAACATAACGATATTATATTGTTTTCATCTCGGATATTATATGTTTTCTGTTTCTCCCTCCCTCTCTCTCTTTCCCTCCTTCTCTCTCGAATTGTATTTTAGTATCAACTGATTGATATCGACATTTATTGTATCAAATTGCGCGCTAAAAATATAAATATAATATTGATTTGAAAGATTGATAGAAAAATTATTAGATATAAAATTTATTTTTGTTTCTCAAGCGGGTATTGTTTCATACACGAGATGGATGTGATAATTTAATAACACACACACACCGTGAACACGAAAATGTAGAATTAAATAAAATTCTTTGTGATCGATAGAAACATTACCCGATTGATCTTTGTCGTCTCTTTCGCCTTATCTGCTCGCTGAGGAATCCAGAACGTAACAACTTCTCGGCGTGGGTGTTGTCATCCTGAAGCCGCCTCCGCAGAATTTCTTATTAGGTACTAGAACGCTCGGAAGAATGGGTTCGTAGGTGGATTTCGGACTCGTCTCCTTTATTTTCTGGAGTTTCCTCTTTTGCGCATAGTACTTTTTTTTTAACTCACACATCTCGTTACTCATTCTCTCCATATCGCCTTTGTATTCCCCTAGCTGCGCCTCATACACATTTAGTTCAGCGACAAGACACTGCGACAAGAGACAAGCGTTTGGAAGCTTGCGTCACAGAGTTCTTAAAAAATTTCGCTGTTTGCGAAATTGCATTTTGCGTTAGCAACGAGTACAATAGTAAAAATTCTATTAGCCTTTTATTAGCGCAACACGATATTGTAAATTGAAAGTATTAGATCTCTTTGACTCGAGCAATTGAATAGAAAGAATAATGATTACGACAGTGCAAACAATGTCTTCTTTGAAGAGACATTTCTTTTCATATATTATATAAATCCTGTTTCTTACTTTGAGCTTCTCTCCTCTTTTGCGTAAGGCGTTTTGAACTTTGTTCAGGTTCGCCGCTGCCTGCGGATCTGGTTGTTTCGATAAAACATCGCGAAGATTCATGTATAGCTTTTCGGTGTCCCTTAGCTTTCTCTCTTTATCAATCATGTCACTGGATATTTTTAAAATGCGTTTCTGCAGAATTTGCACCTTCTTGATCATCTCAAATGTCGTGGGATCTGTACCCTATTAAAAAAAAACGTAACTATATTTATTATGTAAACTAATTAAATATTTCAAAAATGAAAATTATTCATTTGAGAAAATCTAAAATCTGCAGCGAAAAATTTCTTGCGCATCTTCTAATAATAAATTATATATATATAATTAAATATAATTTAATTGATAACAATGACTTTAATATTTTTTGATATTGAAATAATCAAGAATTTCTGAAAATTTTAAGAGGAGAAAAGCATATCCTACCTGGAGTTTCCGCCACCTATGTATATTCAACGGAGTCTGAATTTCTTCTTCCAGTGCGGTGACTTTAAGCCTCTCTCTCGCTAGGTCACGATTCAGATGAAAGGCTTCCTGGCGCAAGTTGCTAATGTTTGCAATGTATTTGGTGAGCAGTGTTTTCTCGGTCCAGAGCCTTTTCACCTCGAACTTGAGCAATCTAATATCCTCCAATTGCTGATTGTAGTGTGTCTCGCCGCGTTGTAGCGTTGTATTTAGAATCTGCATTATATATAGAATGGAATAAAATGGAAATGCATTTTATTTCTATATAAACAGCATTTTTCATCTTTTAAAAGATATAAAAATGGATGTATTAAACAATGCAAATTTTATTTTTTTAATAAGAAGAATTAAGCTTGTTATTTTAATACCACTTATCGAGATAAATTCGACAATGGAAGTTTATTAAACAGTTTATTCAAATTTAAAAGAGCACAAATCTATTATCAATATAATCTATTATTAATTTTTTTTAAAGAGAAGGTTTTATCGGAAAAAATTTATTCCACACTTGACGGAAAAAATTTGTTCTACATTTTCCAATTCACACTCTTACACAAGGAATCATCTTTTTTTCAATCGTACTATGCTTGCCGACCCATGCTATACAAGTGTACGTGTACATCTCGAAAAAGAATCGGAATCCTCCATTCAAGAAGGTTGAAATGAATGGACTTTGCAGACTACCGTCTTGCAACGAAGAATAAAAGCTTTCTTTCCGGTGATGCGGCAAACAATTTACCGTTTGTTTAGCTCAATTCCCTTTCTCGCTCCCGGCATCCGCAGTCCGTGCTCGTGATATTTTTTTTATTCGCGTTTTACGCAAACATAAAATTTCGAAACTGCTCCGATACCGCACCAATTAATCAAATGTTGAATTTTAGCTTTGCTCGTTGAAATTACGTAAATCTCAAATCGGCGCACGCGAAAAATCTTGATTTTTAGAGAGATAGAGAGGATAAAAAGCGAACCTTTATCCTGCTGTATTGCAGAGTGAGCTCGTCGTTCCTGCGGACGAGTTGCGTGCCAAGTATATCGCGCTCGTTCATAACGTTATCGATGTCCTTCTTCCGGCGTCCGATGTCTATATCCGCCTGCTGTATGGCCTGCCTGAGGCGCTTCTCCTCCTGCTTGGACTCCTCGATTTCCCGTCGCAGACCGGATATCTCGACGCGAGAGGCTCGCAAATCGACCTTGAGATCCTCCTTCTCCTTCTCGATCCTTCCCAGGACTACAAGACAAACACTTTTCTGAAATCGCGCGCGATCCTCCCCCCCGTTTTTTTTCCTCTCCGACGATAAATCCCTCGTGACAGCCCCATCGCGAATTTTGCTCGGCTTCTCTCTCGAGTCGGGTCGCGTGTCGTTCACATTTTTTCGCGAGGTTGCGCGAAAATCCCGAATGGATTTGAACGTCGCGAAGAACGCGCAAATAAAAACAATAAAAATGAGAACGAATTGTAACAATTGCAACGTCACCATGCATAACGAAACGTGTCTCTCTTTCGGTATGTTCGTCACTAAACAAGGTTTGGACGTGACATGCATATCGGAATATCGTCTATCCGCGCGCGCGTTTTGCCATTGTGTTTCCCCTGCATAGTTCGTTATTTATTAATTTACGCAATTCAACATTTGGCAGACTGACAACCGAGTCGATAACTAAATTGTGATGAACGATGGGTTTAAGCATAAAATGTTTGGAAAATGTATATAAATCCGCGAATGAAAATAAAGCTATACTGACGTGAAAACGCAACGCATCTATATTTACTTTACGCACTGCGTTATTTATTTGTTTTCCATCTAACAAAGAATCTGGAAAATAAAATGTTATAATATACAAATAAAAATAAAATAACAGAAAATACATACATATGTATATAAGTACAAATTTTATTAATATGGCACGAAAAGATCGCGGTGTTGCAAGAATTTAAAAAAAAAAGTGTGACAAAAAATGAGTTTAATCAGTCTATAAATTTGACGTGCGCGAAAAATTAGGATGAAATTGAGAAATTACAAATGTATGAACAGATTGATATAAATATTGTAACGCAAGAAATAAATCGCGTTGTGGAAATGAAAAAAAATGTGAGAAAAAGCGAGTTTAACTGACGCGTGCAAAAAAATGGGATTGATAGTTGAAATTGGAAGCCAGCTGAGAGCGACAGCGGGTCTAACAGTCGGACGTTTGTCGGAAATACGGCTTACGGAATTCCTCCTTGATAAGGCTGGCCTCCTTCGTCGCAATGTCCTCCCGCAATTGCTCGATCTGCTGGCTCGTAATCTTCAGCTTGCTCTTCAAATCCCGTACCTCCTCTTGCGCCTCGACAAGACTCTTACTGTACAGATTCCGCTCCGCACGAACGGCCTCGAATAAGCTCTGTTGCTGACGGTACCTTGTCTCGGCCTCTGCCAGACGTTTCTTGTAATCGAAGATCTCCGCCTGTCTCAGCTTGGCCTCGCTTACGTGACCCTCCATCTGCCAACGCGTCGTAAATTAAATGCGTCATTCGCATCACTTTCTGGCTTGTACGAGTCGATCAGTTACAGACGAAAATGAGAGGGAAATACATTCATAAATTTTAAATTTACATCGATCGCTCGACGCAAAGCGTCGTTAAGCGCGAAAAGTTTTCTAAAAGGATATTATCGTGTAATTCAGCGAATAATAGAGTACAATTTGTTATCTTAATCTCCATTGCTCGAATAAATATTTATGGTCGATCATTGACGATCATTGATATTATTAGAACGCTCGTTAAAGGAAAATGATTGTAAAACAGTTTCCTACGTGCGTCTAATGGTCCGTTACAGAAAATTTACATTCCCCATCTCGAGGTCATTCTACATTATCTCGACACTACGTTCCCTCAAATAGAGAATTTTATTTCAGCCAGAGGACTGTTGGAAAAAGCTTTTTCCCAAGTTCTCAGAGTCGTGAAATTCTCTCTTGATAAGAGAATCAAATCTAATCTAGTAAATTACACGAGTATCTTCAGGATTTATGTTTGCGTCGCGACTACGTAATTCTTCTCTTCAACGAGCGAAAAAATTTCCGCACCGCGGTTTTACGAGAGAAATTAAATTTGATTTAAAAAAAAAATCAAAGTTTTCGGTTAAAGCGGAAAACTAGAACAGTGCAAAGAGAAAAGCACCGATATCGTTTTACGCTCGAAATAACGGATGGTTTTTAATGTTTATGTTCTTTGAAACGTTTACATGCTCTAGTAAACTAACGGAGACAAATAACAGTTAATTGTCCGCACTACTCATTGCCATTTTAATTGGTCGTTACTAAAAACATCGGAGGTTATTTACTTTGTATCTGGCAGTTTCTACGCAAAGAATAGACTTTGCATTGCTAATTTTCCATTCAATTACCATCTTAATTAGCTAATAGTCTTGAACAAATTACAATCTGTAATTAATAATTTGTTAAAAGTTGAGAGCAGACGCAGTCTTATGAGGAAAATGAAGAGGAATATTTGCGTCGCATTTTATAATATAACCAAGGTATGTAGCGAAGAAGGAAAAATATGACATATTACAGTAAAATATGTCATAAGAAATAAAAGGAAAAAGAGAGGGAAAAAAGGAAAAGGAAAATATTGAATATGGGTAAATGAAAAGAGGAGAGACTATAAATAGAAAAGTGTATAAAAGAAAAAAAATTGGCAAAAATCATACAAATGAGGTAGAAAATAAAATAAAAAGGACAAAGAAGAGACATATGTCGAGATATATATTTATCGCAATTATTTTATCGCAATAATTTAGGTAACGTAATAGTACTTGTGGGCGGAAAATAAGTGTAATCTCTTTCGTAATTTGCGGGATTTTCTCTCCTTCATCCGTGCTTTTGTTACACGATTTTCAGGATTAACGACGATCCCTGCCTCTTTTTTGGACGGATTCGCTTCTAGCAAAAATAAATCTTGTATACCCTTTATATTCCTCTCACCTGCTGCTTCAATCCCTGTATCGCCAGACTGTATTTATCCCGCTCCTTCTCCACCGTCTCCATCTGCTTCTTAACGTCGTCGATGCTCTGCGTCAGCGTATCTAGCTCGTGCTCGACCTTCGTCCTGGCGTGTCCGCACAGCACCAGCTCGTGATTCAACCGCTTGATTCGCTCCTGGGCGGTTTCCCTGCTACGGGCGATCATGTTCTTCTCCCGCAACAGCGTCTCGACGCGTTGCTTGTCATCCAGCTGCTCCTTGCGACAGATCTGCGCCTCGCGTTCCGTGTTCTGGACGTCGATCAGGGCCTGCTTCAGCTCGCGCTCCACCTTGGCACGCTCGGTCTCGGCCTTTAGCAGTCGCTTGTCCATTAAATCCTTCTCGTGCTTGTACTTGGCGGTGCTCTCTTTCGTTCTAAAGCATTCCTCGCACGTTGCAACGTCCGATCGCGTCAAGGGAGGATTTGTATCCTTCGGAGAATCGCTTACTAATGCTCTCGCGTTAATTACAGTCCGTTACCTGTTAAGCTCGTTCTTGACATCTCTCAATTGCTTGTCTTTATCGGCGACTTCCTTCTCCAGTTTATCCATTTCGACATTCGCGTTGTCGAGATCCGTTTGTAGATTCAGCCTCTTCAACATGAGCTTGCCAATCTCCTTCTGCATCTTCTCACCCGCCGTTCTCTGCTCCTTCGCCAGACTCTCTAGCCTCGCCACGTTGCTCACGCCGGCTTCGATAGACGCGTTCGCGATCTGCATAAATTCATTTCTTAACATCTCCCCGATAGCAACTATAATGTTAGAACGGATGGATGAAATATAAAGATTCATAAATCATTTTCAACGGACAATGAATATTCTTTTTTAATGAATCTTGTAATTAAATCGATTCTACGAATGATTCAATCTCTTGAATAATTTCAAAATTCGAGAGGAGACGAGGGATGTTAAAAAATGAAATTAATATACATTGTTAATAAATTTAATTAATAATTATATTTTAATTTAATTAAAATTATGTGTAATTTATACAGTCCTTCCCGCGAATGCTTCACCTCGAGCTCGCTCTTTTTCGCGGCGATCTCTTCTTCGAGCTGCCGCGTTTCCGCCTCCGCTCTCTCCCGAATCCTCTTCTCACGTGAGATCTCGTTCAACTGCATGCCAAGTGTCTCCTGCATCTCGTTCATGCGCTGATCGATCTCGCTGTTTCTTTTCTCGAGCTCCTCTGCATAAGCGGACATGTTCTTCTGGCGTTGCCTCATAGTCTCTATCTCGCTCACGAGTCTCTCCTTCTCCTTCAGCAGATTTTCTTTCTGCTTGCTAATGGTGGTGCTGCAATTTTCGCGAAACTCTCTCAACGAGACCAACCCATATATATTATTCGCGGTAACAACGGCAACCGAGTTTATTCCGAGCGTGAATTGCCGCAAGCTCGCGCTCGTTTCAAGACGCGACATATCTCTCCTTTTTCTCTTTCTCCTTTCTTTTTTTTTATCGTCGTTACGTCAAGTGTTCACGTGGCACTTAACGTAAATTAAACGCGATTGAAAAATTCCCATCTTCGAAATTACTCGATATCGTATTAATCGCTCCGCCATTCAATGGACATTTCACGAGTGCTCGGCTCGATCGATTTGTTAATTTACGTATCCCCGTAGTATTCCTGATTTAATAAAGGCCGCGAGAAAAAAATATCAATTCTTATTCCCTTCGTGTTTTCAAGTCGCAAATTGAGAGGATTTGAAGTCCCTTGCAAGGGAAAACAGTTGAAATATCGAATAACCGCTGGAGAAAATTTATTCTAACGAGTTGCGAAATTTACTGTCGCTTCCGAAGCCGGCGAACTCGCGGTCGATTGTTGATATCTCGGCGCTGCTTGTAAGCTGTACATAAAGCTCAGCTTAATGTAGAGGTCGATGTAAGCTTACAGCCGACGTTAAAGCTGACCAAGAATCAACGCGCTGCAACGTGCCGAGCGTTGAATATTCCGGACGTACACATCACGGCTTCTCTCGACCGCAAAACGGTTTCATCCAAGAGAGAAACTCCCTACCTCCGATAATTGAATTTCCGTTTTAATCTAACAGTGTAACGCGTCCGCGTTAGTGCTTCTGGGATTTTATTTGGCCGCCGTACATTTACGTGCACTTTTATATATTTTCCTCTTTCGTTTATATCAAGCGCATTCATCAATCCCACAGATCGAATTAATCGGACCATTTGGTGCGAGAAAAAAAGTAAATAAATAAAAGGAAGAGAGAAAGAGGAGAAAAGTCCATCTTTTTTATCGCGAAAGCACTCGGCAATTTCGGACGAAATCGGCGTTATTTTTCACATCCTGCGGTTTCGCATCCCAGGGATGCTACGATGCAAGCGAACTCATCCTTCCTCCCGTAGAGGAGTAGACTCACTCACTCCTTCTCGGCCGCCAGCTGCTTGTTCTTTTGCTCGATCTCCAAGCCCAGTTTCGCGATGTTGAGTCGCAAGTTTTCGATCACCTCCTGGGCGTTTTGCTCGCGCGCGTGCGCCGCATCGGCCAACTTGGTCGTGTTCACCACTTCCTGCTTTAATTCGGCTATCTCGTCCTCTTGCGTCTCCACCGTCTTCCTCAGCTCGTAAATCTTGTACGTGTTGTCCTCGAGCTCGTTCTGGAGAAGCGAGCGAGTTGCGGGTTTCCACGCAGGAGGTTTCGGCGAAAACAAAGAGACGGGGGGGAGAATAGAGGAAATTAGACTAGCGATTCTTTGGCGAAATTAGATGTTCGAATTTACCCTGAGCGAGAGGCACTGCTCCGACAGTTCCTTTTCGTTTCGGTGCGCTGTGTACAAGGACTCGTAGAGCCTCGCGTACTCGGCCTCGAAGGGTGCCAGCGCCTCATTAGTCTTCATCTCGTTCGTTATCTGCGCAGATAAGGCGTCCTTTAATTCTAGAAACGCTAATTGGCACGCTAATTACGAGGGAATTCGTAGTTTGCTCAATTATAATTATATTATATGCTCGCGCGGAGATTCAATTTCACGTCGCGAGTGATGGAGTCCTTCGAGCGACTCCGACGAAGCTTTTGTCGCGTTTAATTTCGCGGGGTGGGGACAAAAATCCGATCGGCAAACGCGAGATTCAGTCAACGTTTAAACAGCGGATTCAATCGTGCCGAGAGAAATTTCCTCGAGGATTTACGCTCGAGGCGAGAAAATTCCACCTAATACCGATTTTCGCGACAAAACAAAGACTCTTACCCTCGCATAATCTTTCTCCAGAGTACAAAACGTGCTGCTCGCCGAGCTCCTCTCCGAGGACGGCTGGCTGCTCTCGCTTCCCTCGTCCTGAAAGCAGCATCGTTTCGTTGCCGTGACGGGATATTTCGACGTGAGTGCTCTCGATCATCGCATCACCTATCCGCGCCACTCTGACGTAGACGTAGCTCGATATTAATTACAATCAAGAGCTCGATTCGAGCCGAGGTATAATAAATTATGCGCTCTAAGAGAGACGTTTAATGTAAATTTGACAGCCCTCGAGCAGTAGGGTTTCTCACGTCAGTTCGAGACGATCTCTGTCTGTTGGACGTTCCACTTTGCAGAAAGTCTCGAAACAAAACTATGGCAAGTTTTCCGCAATGCTTACCGCTCCAAGTCGCGCGGTTAGGTTACAATTATATGTTAATTAATTCTATTTTAATAACATCGTCGCACGGCTCCGAAGTCGATCGCTTCGCCTGCCTTGTCCTCTCCATTTTATCGAGGTTGCCGTATTAAAGACGCTTTAGAAATTATTATAACACATTATGCATATTATAAGATAACGCATTGTCTACAATCTAGAAAAATGAAAATCATTTCTTTTTTTATGGCAGCTAATTGACAAGCACAATCGATTGCTATAATCGATAATGTATATGCGATATTTTAAAGACATAAAAAAGATGAATATATATATCGTATGTAAAGAATTATTCGATAAATTTACTTAATAAGAAGATTAAATACCACTTAAATAAAATACATAATATATATGTATTAGGACACATATATAAGTATTTACTCACGTCCAAATCGGCGTTCATCTCCATGTCCATCATGATGAATGGATAAGATTAAAACTTGTCGATTATAATAATACGCAGGTAAATTTTATATTTTTTATTCGATAAATTATATATTTGTCTCGAAAAATATTGATTTATTAAATTTTCCAAATTTTCGCTTTAATTGATTGGAAGAGTGTTCGATTTTTTTTTAATTAGCCGATTATCCGCAATATTCTGAACGATTATATATATACACGTATCGATGATAACGTAACGGGTGAAGGAATGTTTCTAGATCTCTGCGAGTACCGTGATTTCAGATTGTGTTGACTAGTCGCTATGACAACTCTCGTCTTCACCACACTGAAGCAATCGATAGCATATTAGTCTCTTATAACGCATTAAAATATAGCTCTCTAAGAGTTGCAAGTGCGAGCGATAATTTTATAGAAATTTCCTCTCAACGCGCATAAAAACATATTGCTAGATTTATTTCGAAAAATTCGAGGCTCATTTATATAAATGTATCAAAGATAAAGTAAAAAAGATGAAGGACTTTTATAGGTCGGAGACGCATAACTTTGTCAAATCGCATAATTAAAAAAAAAAAGCGTTGCAATAATCACGCAATTTAAACACCTTGAATAACAAACTTTATTTACATTCGTATTTTAATACGTCCATTATACCGAAACCACAATGCATTCAAGTATTGATGGGACATCGTCCCACGATCCAATATTGCGAATAATAACTTGTCGTATTCACGCACAAAAACACACGCGCGCGCACACACACGTACATACAGATACTCTAACAATTTATCCGCAAATCCCGTTGCATTTCTCATTAATTTAAAATCATCGACACAACGTCATAGAAATTCTATCGCCCTTCGATACCGATCACAAGTTAATTCGGCGTCAAATGTAATCGTTAATGTCAATTAACGTTTCAACGTCGTTCCATTCTATTGGGGATTACGCGCTGTTCGACCGATTATTCGAAATGCGATCCCACGTCAAACGTCCCAAGGATACATTTCTACGCGCATACACTTAGGCAAATAATATAAAAATAATTCCGAGATACACATTCTAACACCTCGTATGATCGGAATAATTTCTTATTTAATTGGCAGATCGCAACTCTCACTTGATTATCGAGTGGATCAACATCACCATGTCGGAAGGAGCATATTGCAACCGCGATGGAAAAAGAAATTCGACTATACATGTGAATAATCGATCTAAAATACCGTAATTTTTATTGTATTTTTTAATATATTCATATTCCGTGAAAGAGAAATATAAATATTAATTATTATAATAATTAATATTAATTATTTCGTTTTTCATACATATGCACGGAGATCAACGCGTTCAAAATTCTTAAAATTTCAAACTTACGTTCATACGACATCGTGATCCTCGATCCACTCTATATTTTATATCGTCTCGAATTTTCTTTCTTTTACGCGTTCTTTCCTTCCACCTCCTTCTCTCCCCTCCCCCCCCTCTTTTTTTGTTTTCATATATAGTTTATCTTCACAGACTAATCTGTGACGTATTAGGCACAGGGGAAATCCTGATTACCAAAATGATTCTCACAAGTACAAGAAGAAGGATGAGATATATTTTAGTCTCCGGAACTTTTTAGCCAGAGAGCGACATTTCCTCGTGTCCAAAATCGAAAGCACAATCGATATTCTAGCAAGGCATCGAGATTATGTGTAAAAAATAACTCTCCGTCTCTAAGCGCGTTCGAATCTTAAAGGTATATTCTCTCTACTCGATGTATTCCTTACACGTATAAGGAAATAAGTTTGTTTCTCTCTCTCTCTCTCTCTCTCTAGCTAATTTTACACGTCTTACGAGCACTCTCGCCGTTCCATGGACACTATATAATTTTTTTTTTTTCCTTCGAAAAAGTTCTACCTATAGTTTACAATGCGCACGCGATTATAATGTACAACGATTTCTACAAGTTTGATCTCGCCGAACGATATATTTTATTATTCGTTTCGAGGGAACATTATTACATCCTCGTAATGAAAATCGATAATCGTATCGAAATGCCGGATGAATCGATACATATCGGTTCCAATTAACGCCATTCCTTCAATAAAGCTAACCGCAGCGAGAATCGACTCAATTTATACAATCGTTTACATATATATATGATCGTGATACGTTTATTTTCTTATACTGATGGTCGAATATTCGGCGCAATATCGGCGTTTGCCAAGCTAAATATCGTTTTTAATAGCGCCAGTTATTGTTATAAATTAATTCGTTTTTTAATCGATTTTTTTAAACAATGATAAACATCAAATTGAAATTTGTTTGCGGGGATTTGACAAGATGTTTGGAGAAATTGAGAGAGATAATCTCTTCTTACTATATAATGGAAACGATAATATAATTGAAAATAAAAATTAAAGAAACGTGATATAATCTGCACTATTCGATATTTATATCGTTTAATTATCGGCGAATGCTCGAAATAATAATGAGCAAACAACGATCTATACATCCAACCAGTCTTTTTATTAATCAAAACACACACACACACACACACACACTCTATTATGTCGGGTGTTCATCTCGAATACTGCTTTCTCTTTCTCTCTCTTTCACTATACAATTTCTGAATCTATTTTTAACACAACGCGATGCATTTGTATTGATAATCGGAAGTATTTGTCCAAGTTTTTCGATAGGAACCAAATTCATGTGTGAATTGTACAAAGGAAAGTATTGTCATAAATTTGGCACAGAGGAGCAAGTCGCGTATATATGTGTGTCTGGGTGCGTGCATACGTGTACGCTAATGCACCTGTGTATATACCTTGAAATACATCACCGGGCAGTACATGCTTAGAAATTCTCTTGCGGCGCGACCTGACCATTAAACACAGAAAAAAAAGAAAATAAATTTTCTTGCATATTTTCTTCCTTAATATTATCGTTATTCGAGTATATGTATACTCCAGTCTGTACACACACTTATACATCACACAAGAGTATAGACATCATACAGGATTTGATGCTTCAAGTCTTAAGCTTGTCTTTTATGGAAATTCATCGTCTATCAATCCAAGAGTTTTCTCTTGAAAGATACACAAGCAATGGAATAGTTTCTCGGTTTCTATTCATATAACGAGAAAACTAAATATCTCAAATTAAAAGAATCTTCATGCTTGGAGTATTGGTGATGCTTATTTATGTATTGATTTGTGAAATTCTGCTGCAATTAATAACATTTTACTTAAGTTTGCATTCTTTTAAATATGAGTGTGCGCAATCGACGTTTTAATAACTCTAATAATTATGAATCTATGAAAATGATAATTATTGATATCATAATATTATACGGGTTTCATGTGCCACGCACCAAGGATATTACTTACATCGCGAAATTATTATAAACATATCGAAATAAATTGCAAAAAAACGTATATTTCGTTCTAGAAAACACAAGTTCTATCACACTTTGAACAAAAATAAAAAAACTGTTATTAGTTTATAAGATAAATCGGCAAAAACTATAACTTAAAAAATTAATAATCATTTAATTCGTATAATGAATTCGTACGAGAGCTACAATCATATGGTGAAATAATAAGAATAATATATAATAATGATAATAAAATAATTATTATAGCTGAAATAATAATACATAAGAATAATAAAAATGGTAATATAAAGACATTCTTGATGATAGCTCTCTATACAATCTTAGCTTAAGTCTGTCTCAAACAAAGACAGGACCTTCTTAAATAAACTGGGACAATTTACAGAGAATCTTATCATCTATCCAAAGTAAAATTGCGTTGTTGTAATTGTCACGAATCGTAATAACACTTTCTTGAAGAATATCTAATCACAATGTGTAAAAATATGAGCGATTAGCGCTGGTATATCTAATTTTACAGTTTAAGTGCACGTAAATGTATAAACGCGGTAAAACGATCTGGTGACAGTGATTTCCCTCCAATTTCTCTTCTCATTTTTATACGATAAACGTGTTTCTACGGTTTCTCTTTTTACAAACTTTTAAACACAGAGAATTGGACAAATCAAATGTCATCAGATTTTCCAATAATATATATTATATTTAATGTGTGTACTTATATATATCACTTAAGAAGAATAGGAGAGAAGAAGAGAAGCAAATACCCGAATATAGTTTGACAATTCCGAATCGAAAAACGACTGCTTCGACTAATGAAACAGCTAATTCATTGGACTAAAGTTCGTAACACTGTGCGAGTATCACATAATTACACCCGATTTTCTCCGCTCTACTAATTGTAAGAGAACTCTTTTGAATTATCGTTCCTATTATATAAGAATAATGACTTTATTACGATCAAGAAACGGTTGCAAATTTGCGCGAATACGTTACACACATTGAAAGGGAATACGTAACACACCGGGAGACTTCAAATAGAAAATATAATCGGATTTACAAGCCACTCCAGAAACATTCAACTGGTGGACGTGACTTGCGAGACCGTAGTAAAGGGCGTCACTTGGTACAGGAAACACCTGTTGCATACTCTCACGGGTTTCGTATGCCCGTATCGAGGCAGTGGGACATTGTTGCTGCTGCAACGACCGCAAAACACTTTACCGCAGTTTCGGCAATGGTGCCTACGTCGCACGACCGTGAATCCCGCTTGACAAGCCATACATCTTGGCGCGTCATTGTCCGGCACCCAAGCGGGTGCTCTCTCGACGCATTCTTCTCCTCTCTCGGTGACGGGAGAAGCTGTGGAAACGAAAGAAAAAGAATATTAATTGCCGTTGTATAATTATGTGCCGAATGAAAAAGATGTCGAGGAATTTTATTATATTTTTAGACAGAGAAGCTTGAAATTTTGTTTGAATATGAGTCTATCCATCCGAAAAGAAAAATAAAATTTTAGTCAAAAGTCAAATAGATTTGAGATGTAAACATATTTATACAAATTTATATACAAGATTCGAAGTTTACAATGTAAAACTATGAAAAATGTTTATAGATATTAACGAATGGACAGACTTGTATGCAAACTCTTAAGCGAAATCACATGAGTGAAGAAATAAATATATCCGTACTTCGATCATGGGTCAATGAGGTTTCCTCCATGTCTTCGTATTCGGGTAATGGTTCTTGGCGTTCGTGAATACTTTCCGTCTCTGTCGTGTCGTTTGGTACGACTACTGTCGATTGATTCGTGGAACCTGAACTTTCATCTTTCGATCCTTCGGTATCTTCTACTATTTGACTACTATTCATGAGAAAAACACATTTCAAAATATTTCGCAAATCCGACGCGAAATTTGTTTGCAACTGATCCGCCACGCCCGCTATGCAAACGAAGAGGCGATGGACTAGATCTTCCGAAGATCTGGAAAAATATTAATATAATTATAATAATATATTATTCTATTTTGAAAATATTCTCTCTCAGCTGAAAATCGATGGAACAAGAAAAATATAGCAAAAAATATGGTAGGAGAAATAACGAAAAACAAAAATGTTGACAGAAGGTCAAGTATTATAAACGCGTTCAAAACAAATTATCAAATTCTTGTCGCTAATATTTAAGAAAATATGACGGACGTCTTGAGCCAACAGACTAATTCAAAGCATAATGACATTAGTATACATACGTAGTGTACATAATTTATACAGAAACAACTACGCGGAAACAAAGTAACAATGTATTCTCTTACCGAAATTTGGCTCTGATTTGATTTCTATTTGCGATTTCAGCAGCTTGCATCGCCAGTGCAATCTCCTCGTCATCTTGGCAGTCGCTGTGAAACTCGCTGGTTTCCGAACTCGAATCACAACAGCTCGAACAACTGGAACTCGATGCCACCACGTTGGTCTTGTAGCTCAGAGATTGATCAGAGTTTCGTACACCGGATATCGTCGACGTATTAACCAGTCTCATCGCCCGCACGGATCTCTGGGGATTATCCCTTGCATGACGAATTGCTGCGTTCGAGAGCGTAGCAACGGTCTCCGTTGGAAGACCACTCTTGTCCGTTCTCGGGCCTAGTCCATCATTCATCATGAGACTGCTGGAACTTCCATTTCCTCGTTTTCTCTTAGTAGACTCGGTGCGTGCGTACTTGTCCCGTTCATGCTTCTCTTTCTTGTCGACGTCTCTCCTCTTCATCCTCGCGATCTGCTCGGACTTTGATCTCCTATGATCCAACAACTTTCTGCTCTGCGGCGATGAGTTTCTGTTCGTGCAGTGCGTTCCCAGATTGCAACAGCGTTGTCCGGAGCTCGGGGTGCTGCGCGATTCGAAATGATGAAGCCTCGGGCTCATGTGTGGACTGTGACTACCGAAATTCGGCATCTGCCTGGTGCTTTGCAAGTTGACACCGAGGTTGGTCAAACGTGAATTTAAACCTCGATCCGTGGAATTCGATCTGGAGCTTTCGGTGCTCGTGGCCGATCGCACGATCTGCAGATGTCTTTTCTCAGCATCTCTCCTGCCGTGATGGGTCCTCTGTGTATTTCGGTCCACTAATCTGTGCTGATGTCGCCGTCGCTGCCTCTCGTCCCGCGTCTTCTTCGTCGCTGCTTTATCCTGCGCATATTTCTCGATCTTTTTGCCAATCTCGTCGATACTACGAGAAGTGGACGGGCAATTTTCGCATTTTAGATCTCCCCAAAATTCTTTCCTGGAGCTCGACGCATCGATATTCAAATTGAGATTTTCCCAATTCTCGGAATAGTTTATTTGGAAGGTGGACTGATTGGAATCACAGAGGGTTAATTGGCCATTGCCGTATGCTACACCGATGAATTCCTCGTTGGTGCCGTCGAAATTCGATGATATTCGTGGAATGTTTTTCCCATCTAGTTCCCCGTGTCCGTTCGAGTGCAAACCAGATACCTCGATTGAGTGATCTAACGCTGTCTTGTTTGCGCCTCTCGTGCTGCAAACGCATGAGTTTACGGGATTTTTTCTTTTCGGCGAACTCATATTGGAACAAGAGTAACTAGTGTTCTCCTGCGTATCCTCTTCATCCGAGGCGCCGCATCCCTCTCTCTGGATCTCGTTGGCGAAGGTCTTCTTCTCTTCCGGGCTCTTGTCGTACAAGCTAGTGTTCTCGGATGATATTACCGTACATATGCCGGAATCCGTTTGTTCCGAAATCTCATTTTGGCATTCGCTCGAGTCCAGCAAAAGATTCGAGAGAGTTTTATTCGCCTCCGAGATGAGTCTCTTAGAATCTAGATCGGGTAAAGAGTTGTCAGGTATGTGCGCGGCCTCACCGTCCATGGTACTTTCGCGAGTGACTTGGTTAAGCAAATACTGCGTTTGCGGTATCTCTATATTATCAGAGCATCCCTCAAGTATGTGAGTTATGTCGGAAGTGATAAAGCTTCCCTCATTCCGCGTGTCGCCGACGATATTCGCGGAAGCGCTACTTCCCGCTACATCCAATCTCACAATGTCACTTCGCGCTATCGAGTCGCAACTCTCGCTGGTATTATTTTCGCTATTATAAACCGAATCACAATCATGAGGAAACCGTTCGTTATCACACAACGCGTCGGGGAGCTCGCGTCTACATTGCACTCGTTCACCGACACTTTCTCCATTACTTTGTCGCGTCTTTTCGCCGCTATTACACATTACCTTATTATCACACCCATCCGAGGATATGTTTAAGTCTTCGCGCCGAGTTTCCTCGCCGTTTTTCTGTTTTCTACGCTTCTCTCTATCCTGTTCGCGTTTTTTGATCGGCGACTGATCGACTTTCGAATCGCCTTCGTTCAACGATTGAACTGCATCACTCGCTATCTCGTCCATATTATTACCCGTATTTTTTGTCACAGTGTAAAAATCAATGATGAACTCTTTGCAATTCGGATAACCGGTATAAAAATCATGAACATATTCCTCCAAATCTGGTATGTCCTGACACGTTGATTTCGTTGATTGTGTGATCGAACTGGATGGCTCCTCATTCGAGCATAATAGCTTCTCCAACATGTACAATTCGCGATTATTTAACGTCCATAATAATTCTCTTATCTTGAGAAGAAGAGTCTGAAAATAAATCATATTCCTTTGTCAGGAAATTGAAAATAATAATAATTAAACTTGAAGATAAATGTGACTCTTGATCATAAATTACAATCATAGTAGTAATTATCAAGTCTCTTACTCTGAATGGTCTAAACATCTCGCTTATAGTATCGGATGAATTGAGGCACAACGGTCCTCCGGGTGGCGCCAAGAGTCCCGACACAATAGCCAATCGTGGAATAGTAAACATTAAAGCCGGCTCATAATTGTCTACATCAGCTTGGTCCAACAAACCGCGCTCAAGCGCTCTCTGTAAAGTCTCCGAGAACAGCACACATACAAGTTCCTGCTGCTCGTATTCCTTTGTCGATTTCACCGGTACCATCGCGCCGACATAACACAGCTCAAACTCGGCAAAGAGTCGATCAAAGATCTTCAACGACTCGATGAGCTTCTCCAAGGATGGCTCGAGAGGATTTTGCGTCTGAAAAAAAAAAGATGTTATTAATTATTCATGAAATTATCCGAGTAGTTATTAATAATTATCTTCTGTTCATGCAGAAAATTCCATCGTTTTGTTTTTATTCAACATTGTATATATCCTTGGAACACCAGAAAGCAGCAATTAATCAGCAACTTACTACGTTTCATATGATATGAATATACAAATTTCTTACTCGCGTATTCATAAGCACCTTCAAATTCATGTGGCCTTTAAGCGCATGCTCTCTCAGCAGGTTCCTGACAATCTCCAACGACTTGGTGAGAGCTTTCGCCAACGGCCTCATGGTCGAGCTCTCGGCCTCCCGGTTCATGATCGACGAGCCGGCTGCCAGACATTCCGCGCCGAACCAAAGCTGCCCGGCCAGATTCTCCTGCATCACGTCATCGGGAAACTTCACCCTAAAGTCCCGATTGGCGCGACTCTCGGGTATCAGCTCATCCATGATCTGATTACAAATGGTCAGCACCTTGTCCTGACATTGTCGCAGTTGATTCACCAGCGTCGTACATCTCTCCGGCTCCTGTCGACCGTCGAAGGAGTCCAGCTCGCAGGCGACTGCGTTCAAGGACTCATCGGCGTAAAAGAATTGAGCCAGCAGACTTGTGTCGTCCCTCTGCAACGATAGAGAAAAGGAACGTCAAGTTAGAAAATATTTTGACAAAGAGTATTTAATTTAGCGAGGAAAGATTAACCGCTGGACTCGCTCGCATTTTTTCTCGGTCACGTGAAAAGATAGGTGATCTCCCACCCACGTTCTTATGTGCGAGGGATAAAAGTTCACGCTTGCGATATTTATAAACAAACGAGCACCCAAGTCTAAACAATGAGATTGATCGTGTTTACGTCATAATGAAAGAGGGTCGAACCCACGTCACAATTAAAGGGCGCAACAAGAGCTAGCGTGTTATTCTCCCTTGGATAGGTCCGTATCATCGATGTATGACGTCGAGCGACATATAGGGTAAAGGCTTCGGTTTGGATTTTATCGTTTGCACGGTTAAAATTTTTTCCATCGACCTTTACACGTAACGGAAACAGTGACATCAATATCGTCGACGTAAGGTGCGTTGGCGCGTATATAAAAGCGTTACAAATTATTAGGAAATTATTATACAGCGCAATATTGTAGCGTGGTACTTCAAGATGGATCTAACATTTTACAATCGATATACTGGGTGTCTCTTAATGAGTGCGAAAAATTTTAGGAGATGATTCTTTGTCGAAAATTAAGAGGGTTTTTCATATAAACATTAAAAAGTTCTAATAAAAAATTGAATAGGGGTTGCTAGTTTCATCCCCTTATGACAATACGGGAGGTTGAAGAAAATATTAATAAATAACCTTTTTACTAGTAGAAAATATCCATCTGATTTCACTTCTTTAACTTGTTCTAAATTTGAGAAAAAAATAAAAATCTAATCTTTACCCCCATTTTTGGAGGAGTGTAACTCCACAGGGAGGGATGTAGGAGTATATGTTTATATGAAAAATCCCCCTTAATTTTCGACAAAGAATCATCTCCTAAAATTTTTCGAACTTATTAAAACACAACCTGTATAAATTGCAATCGCGTTGACCGCGTAAGCTCTAAATCGCATTCACATCGTGTCGACGGCCCGCATTTTCGCAACAAAGCGGTGAATCGACTAAAAAAATCGCTCGTTTCGAGGAAATCTAGCGCTTCAAATCCGATTACGACGGGATCCGATCCGAAAGATGCGATTGTCAACATTTCAATCTGTTAAAAAATCAGCTGCTTTGAAAGAGAGAACGATTACATAAGTAATAGTTTAGTTTAGTAAAAGGCGCAACCGAGAAGTCTACGAAGAAAGTAATTTATTCGAAAAAAATATTAGAGAAAGATAAGATTCGCAATTGCGAATTTTTGCATCGCGGATCATTGATCGTGCAAAGTTCAAACATGGAGGGTATTCTTGTCTTATCGATGCAGATAAGGTCTTATCTTATGGAAAATATATTTACGATAACACGAGAAAATATCGCTCTTAACGTTATTAATTAAATTTCCGAGAGATAAGCCGGGGAGGGAGGGGGGGTTCGCGAACTTGAAAAAAATAATCTCGTTCGAGGAAGGGCATAAGATTTTCAAAGAGGCCTTCGTATGGCGCGTTTATCATTAATCAACTCATCTTGTGCGTGCTCAAAATAATGTAAGATGCTTTTTAAGTGCACGTGAATCCACACGCATGACATATGACCGAGACTATATTTTTATCGCCGTACGGATGTACTCGTTACTGTTCAATCGCAATTGTATTCGTTGAAAACACGTCACGCTTGCGTATGCAACGTATGACAAATAAATCAGTTAACCTTTCGTATCGATATCGTATTTAACTAGACCACAATGGTGCGGCTCACGCACGAGTAAAAGGAAAAGGAAACTCTATACTCCGTCTAACGAGGGGACATAACACACGCACGTACGTCGTTCTCGTTTCACGAAACGCAAAATGGCCATTTCGAGACGCGAAATCAAAATATTGCACGATTATTCTGACAATGAATTTCGCATTCGTGGAATAATTTTGTTCGTTTCCTCTCTTTGGAAAAAATAAATACGAGAATAAGTTTCTCTTGAAATTCAAATTAATTGCAATCGAACGCGAGCGCAAGTTCCTTTCTTTTTTTCCGCATCAACGATGAAAATGAGAAAAGTTGATGAAAGCGCGACGTATGAAGCTTTCACAGCTCTCACTATCCCACGAGAGCTTATCATTTGTTTAAAATATAAAGAGTAATGTAATCAAGCAATCTGCTGCTCTGGTAATTTCGTAGAAGCGCATCTCGCAAATAATATCATTACGGCGAACGCGTAGATATTCCAAGAGAGCTTGCAATTAAAATGTAAAATTTTAATATATAAAATCAAGATTTAAATTTATTTACATTTATTACAATATTTATAATATTGCAAATATAAAATTGATGTAAAATAGATGCTTGTATATTTACGAGTGTATATATTTCCATCTTTGATGTTATATATGTACAAGATTTTATCGGGATGTAGAATAAAATTACACACCGTGATGTAAAAATTTTATACCGTCGAGATATATAATTTAGTAACATTAAACGCGACATCATTAAATGACATCAGTCAATTTGTGAAACTGCACTCGACTTGTGCGAACGATATCGTTTTTTCTGTCCGTTCGTAGAGAGAGAGAAAGAGAGAGAGAGAGGCCACGAGTTTACGCAATCTTTTTTTTATTTTTATTTTTTTTTATTTAAACGAATTTAAAAGAATATATTTCCGCCTTCAAAATGATAAATTTAAATTACAACATCGTTAAATATATCTAGAGATGATATTCAAGTCGATCGTTGCATCGACTTACGCCACATCTTTTTTTATGCATTTAATCTAACGAGCAAACGTATGTTTGTTGAATCATTTTTTTCACCTTGAGATATACCGCTTGGCTCAAATATAGTTGCATTGAATTAGGATTGGAGATAATTCGCACAGTCTCTATGGCACTTCTAGAAGCCGCGCTTTAACGAATTAACTGTGGCCTATTTCGCAATCGCTGCCATCCGCTGTCATAAACCACGCAATTTCGGATAAATCGTTCTCTCTCACTCTCTCGTAAATATTTAGCGGTTTCGCTGTGAACTCAACTGTTGGCGATTTTGATAGAAAGTTGCGTGTCTCAGAATCTACGTTTAATTCTTCCTTAATTTCTTCTTTCATTTTAATTCTTTTTCATTTAATTTTAATTTCAATTTAATTTTATTTCCACTTAATATATAATATTTATATAATATAATTATATAATAAATAATAATAATAAATATAATTATATAATTATATATTTATAATATTTATATAATATATAATAGTTGATGTATATTTCTTTTATAATTTTATTTTTAATTTTAATTCTTCCGGTCAATTAAATCGGATTAAAATTTCGAAAAACGAACGCCTGTTCTATGCTAAATTATTTGCGGGAGAAATGTCGTAGAGACTGTCGAAGCGTGGTTTCGATCGCGTTTCCGAGAGACACATCCATCGGTCAATCAGACCGTGCGTTTTTCAGCTTCGTGTCATCGGACGCAAGAAAGAAAATGAGTCGGGGTGCCTCCGTGACTCATCCCGAATATCGTTGACCCCCTTTTTGTTCACTACCCTATATCGTCCAATGTGTCTTTATTTCACGCATGTCCGCATCTCTTTCTTCTCGTTTCTCTCGCACATGTATACGTGTGCGCGCGCGCGCGCACGCGAGCTTTCCTCTTCCTGTCAGATGAGAGCGTGATCTATGGATCACTCTTATCGCGATATCTTTAACATTGAGAAACGTCAGCGGAAAGTGATGTTGAACAGCTTAAAGAAAAATCGGTTGAACCTGACAGTCCATTCAGTCTCTTCAAAGTGAAGCGCTTTATCACGAATGGCCTTTCTCCTTGACTATTAATCTTTAAAGGTCATGTATGGGTCGTTTTAATTTTATCGATATTTTAACAATAGAATATCTCGAAGGTCTTAATCGGTAAAAAAAAGAGTAAAATTTTTATCGCACACGCCATCATTTTCTACGGATATCGAGGAATATTTCATTATTTGTAGATTTTTTCGAGTATTTTTCAAGTATTTTGAGATGCTTAAAACTACGAGACATTGCGATCAGAAACAGAGCAAAAAGTGTGTCGTCTAATCTAATAGCGATGTGTCACGGTCATTAACAACCACTTGACCCGTACCTGACGAATCTCCGCTTATGTCTTCCGGAGAAATTTCTCCGTGGAAGATTTTATTCTCGCACGACCATGCAATCATTTCGATGCCCGCGCCCGAGGCGTTCATTTCGCGTGCGCGACTCCTCGGCTCTTTGTATCTCATTGAATTTCATCGATCCCTACTTTCGCGCGCGAACGTCCTCCAAGCGCCAAATCGGATTTGATCCGCGCGAAAATAAATGGCATACGTACGAGAAATGCGCCACGCTAATTGTCGACAATTGATTCCGAAGGAGAGGATCACGGTGTCGAAAAGGCGCGTGATCTCTCGGTAAAAATAAATTCTAGTACACTGAGAAAAATCATTTAATTCTACCAACAAGATGTATGTGATTGAAGACATTTTGGTTAAATCAAATAAAAATTTCTAGTCATGATAAGACTCGATTTTTTATAATTAGAATGTTTAATAAATTTTACTATAAGGATTTGGTTAGTATTTTCTGATTTGATCTATAAAATTTCTTGTTACACTAATTTCTTTGCTTCTTAACTTAACTCGTATTTAATATTTGCCATGAAATGTATAAAGAAATAGTATTAACATTAAATCCAAAGTATATTTTTTTTCTCTTACGAGCAGTAGTAGCCAGAAAGAGGACGCTAGCTCTTTGATTGTGTGTGTTGAGCTACATCCTTTTCTTACATCGCTCTTTATCAGTTTAATTTCTAACAAACTGAATATAAAATAATTTACTCCATAATCTGGATTGAATTTGTCCAATAATCTTGTTGAAATTCAGATTAAACTTTTGAGATTAGATGGAAAAAATTTTAGACGACTTGGTGCTAGTGAGTTTAGTATTATTAACCAGAAAATTTGGTAAATTTAGCAGGAAGAAATTAATCAGATTTATCTGTTAATTTCTACAAGAATTCTGGTTCGTCCATTTTCCAACGAATACACTGGTTGAATCTACCAGAATTCTAATTAATACAACCAGATTTTTTTCTTAGTGTACGAATTCTCTCCTCGAAATATTATTCACCCTTTTTGTCGAACGAGTCTCCCATTGGAAATTCATTCGTCCGCGCGTGACACATGATAGCGATACGACACGATGTCATATAATAGGCACATGTAACACGCTGCTGATACAAATACTTGAAACTCTAGCGAAGCGTGCCATTCCATCCTCCATATTCGGCATAAAATATTTCTCATTTTTCCTCTCATTAATGAACCATTAATTAACTCATAATATTGACAGACGCATTAATAAAACCTCCCATGCGCGCATTACGCATATAACACTTCCCGTATTCTAAGTGCTTGTTCCCCACCGGTTGACGATGTACAAGAGATAAAAGATTAATGAAAATAAGCGAGCGTTAGAGTCCCTCGGGCGGAATATTTTACTACAACAAGAACAGTTTGACAGCTCGAGAGACACGAGGCGGTTTTTTAATTAATTCTACGCGATATAAATAATTACATTGAAAAATACATAGCGTGCGAGAATCGGGAAGAAAGTAGCTTGTGCATCGCGATAGCGCGTACATTGTTATCGCTCGGAATCTTATTTCAGCTCGCTGATAGATTGTCAACCCGACATATGGCGATATTATTGTAGCTTGCGATCGAGTCTCCGAAAATCTGACGTTTCTCCTGCGTATTCGCAGCGAACGACGAGGCTGGACCGAAAGATCATCGGGTACCTTGACGCGTTTCCAGTCGTCCGTTTAGCGAGAAACGTGCCGTAATTCCGCGAATCCCGCGATACATATCGACGATGCCGTGCACGCGCGCATTCACACAGGTGTACGTACGTCGTACGTACGTCGTGTCGTGCGAAATTTTCACGAAACAGGTGGCAACAGCGCTCGATGAAGTCGCGAGAGAGAGAGGAAAAGGAACGAGTGCACGCGTTCGATCAGCGCGAAGGAGCGAGAGGGGGAGAGAGCCGGAGAGAGACGGGAGCGCGGAGAGGGAAAGAGAAAATGGACACTCTCTATTCCATACTAATGCGACGTGAAAGATACTCACGAGAGTACGCGATGTAAATTTAAAGAAGACAAAAATTCGAGGAGGGTACATTAAAAAAAAAAAACAAGCTAGAATGAAACGCGAAGACGTTAAAGCGCACGAGCGAGAGAGACAAAGAGACAAAGAGAGAGAGAGAGAGAGAGAGAGAGAGAGAGAGAGAGAGAGAGAGAGAGAGAGAGAGAGAAAGAGAGAGAGAGAGAGGAGAGCACGCGACAGAGCGAGATGGAGATGACGAGGGGATCGGGGACGAGGAGAAGGCGAGCAGAAGGCGAGATGTGTTCACCTTAGGCCTGTAAAACCATTTTCTGATGGACTCCATCATATCGCGATTCCGCTGACGTCATCGGTGTGTGTGCTGACGGAATCGTCGTCACTGCGCCCGTCGCGATCCAGACACTCGCGACACCGACATGTCGCGTTTCTCCGGAGTCAACCCCGGAGGTTTGGGCGACGGGCTCGCACGATTGACAAGCACAACCGCGATCACGACGGCGACAACCGCGACGACGACGACGACGAGAACGACGACGACGGCGATGACGATGCGACACGGTCTATGCGTACCAGCATTGACGACGATCGCGACGATCGCGACGACGACGACGTTCGACGTTCGACGACGATGACCTCGCACAATGATCTGCCTACGTTGCTCACTCGCGGGAACGCATGTCGGTTGAAACGCGCGTTGGTAAAACTGAGGTGACAAGCGTGCGGGCAGAGCAGAGTGTCCGCAAAAAGACGCAGCTGTCTAACGCGCATGCGTCCAACGCGACAATCACGGAAAGATGAATCGACGCCGCGTACCGCCGCCTAGCGGTCCAACCTCTCAACTACGTGGATGCACGAGGATACCAATGAAGTTTCTTCTCTCTCCTTCCCCCTCCTCCTCTCCCTCTGGCTAACGAGATACCGACGAGGCGCTATTAATATAATAATAATAATAATAATTATTATATATATATTATAATATTATATACTATTTATTATTATTATATATATTATAATATTATATATTATATATATTATATATATTATTATATATATTATATATATTATTATATATATTATATAATTATTATATTATTATTATTATATTATAATTATATATATACAGTATGTCTGATTTAAGCGAATAATTATTAATTAATTATTTTGTAGGAAATCAAAGATACAAAAAAATTGTTCCAATAAAAGTTGTTTGTTATACACAATATGGTGCAATTATATTTTTTTGTGATTGGAAATATTATTTTATAATTTTTTTGTATCTTTAATTTCCTACGAAATAATTAAGCGAATCCATTTAAATCAGACATAATTATTAATATAAATATAATATAATTTATAATTACTATTTTATTATGTCATCTTCTCGATGACAACAACACATTGCATTCTCGTAATTTTAGTGTAAATTCTAGTATATATATGGTAATCAATATAAATCGATATAAATTCTAGTATATATACGATAATTTTTATAATAATCAAATGTTAAAATTCTCATTACAAAGGAAAGATCAAACTTAAATCTTGGATATTTTGAGGATGTTTTAGAGAATTATTTGTTAGCGACTGCATCTTTTACTGATTTTTAAATATTACGAAATAGTACTTGAATTAAAAAATATATAATTTGAATAAGCTTTATTATTAAGCTATGCTCTTATCAGTTATTAATGCATAATATAAAATAATTTTTTATACACTAATTAAAATGCAAATTTTGGAATATCTAGTTTTGATTACAATCTACAAATTGTAATTATAATTATTGCTAAAAAATATTTATACAAAGAATTTTGCCAAAATGTAAAACAGAGTTTCGTTCGATCGTTTTCAATCGATATCATTTCAAACAATCACAAGATATATGCATAGAATTTTATTATTATGAATAAAAAAATATAAAATATTTTATGCATAAACATAAAAAGTTGTTTTTTACATCTGCTCTTTTTTCAATATATTTTCTCCAATATTCTGCAAAGGATATCACAGGGTAATATATATATATATATATCGCTATACATAATTACTGAGTCACTTAAAATAGTTATTTATTAACATGTCAAACCGTAGGTAGTATCTACGAACTCGACGAAAGTTGAGTCAATTTTCGCACAATATCAACTAATATTAATTACCGGTTATTAATAATTGGTCTTGTTGTACGTCGCCGTCTAGAGCACGATAACTGTCTTTAGATCTGTCGATTGTTACTTCAAATTGTTATTCCAGCTTTTCTCTTGGAGCATATATAAAGTTCCTTCGCGGACAGATCAAGCACAGTTTCGCTTGGATCTTCTACGAGAACAACCAAGTTAACCAGCAACGACAAAGAATATTTCAATCAAGGTGCGCGCATTTAATATCTTCTCGCTCTTAATATCGTAATTAAATCGAGAATTATTAATTCAGAATCGACTTTGGATAAAAAAATCTTTCTAAGATAAACTTTGAAATCTCGTTTCAAACGAGATTATTTTTTTTATATCTCTTTTATTCGCACATATGTCGATTTTATATGGGAAATGCCTGCTCTATTCGCGATGGTATACCGTATTTACGTTGAGAATCTTTCTCTCTTATCGACAATTGATACAGTGGCAACTGATTACAATGGACGACGATACAAAATTCTAAGGACACGAAACAGAGAAATCCAAAGTCGTAACAGAGATGGTGCAACGTTTAAAATTTTCAGATTAAATTAATCTCTCAATTCTATAATTTTATTTAAAGTCGATTATTAGAGATTAGAGTAATTTTTCTTTATTAAATGTGTAATCTTTTCTCTAAAGATTCATAGTCACATTTGCTAGGATAGAGGAGTAAAATTTCATTAACAAAAGTCATTTCTCTTCTTTTTCTCTAATTTTTATAGCATATCAATATATGCTATAAAAAATTTATTAATCTTTTTAAATATTCTTCTACGTAACCATTAATATTTGTCTTGATTTTTAAAGAAAGGAGAGACACATAACAACGTTATTCATCATTAGTCATATTTAAACGAAGACAATTTGCTACGCAAACGTTTTAAACAAAAGAATTCAGTCGTCCCTATCGCAAATTATAGATTCGCATATCGTGGGAAAGCTCGAATAATCGTATACGGATAATAGAAGTATCAATAGAGAAAATGATACATAATGAACAGATAGACTTACGGGAAAACGTAGGAGAGAAACGGAACAATCGAGTTGTGGAGCTAATGGATTACGAAACGTACGACAAATTGCCCGTCAGCGTGAAATGGAAAATCCACGATACAACTTCAACGCGGCGAAATAAATTGTTTCTTTGGCATTTTCCAATTCCGTTCCCGCGCGCTCTAATATCATGAAAAAATTCCACGTGCTGAAAATAATTAAATTCGCCACCGCCCGTAATAAATCTTGCTTAATTAATTTTCAACGCGCGAAAAATGTCCATTAATCGATCGCTGTCTCGCACATCAAAGTCGAAAGAGCGATAGATGCGTATCGATCAATTTCGCGAACAGCATCCAATTCTCTTATCTGGCAATCCTGGCAATATCCTGTTTTCTGATACCGTGAAGAGAAATAATTATGCAAATGAGCGTATGTATTTGCGAAAAATTGCACATAGAAAATAATTGCTCGATAACCACGTGTCTCGCGCCGAGCAATTTTCCAAGTTGCCCTCGGAAATCTGTCTTCTCTCTCTGTCTTATTTCGCTACAAATTAAATATCGCTTAATATTATTGGTAAACGCGCGATGCATCGTGTGTTTATTGGCGTGTTTCTCGCAACGACTCGGACGCTTCATCCCTATGCAACCGAGATGCCGGTCACGTCTCTTATCCGCTTGGACACTTAGTAGCACTTACGCTTATCTTAATGACCAGGGACGCGCTCGTAACGTTAATGGTCCTCTTAAAATTAGCACGCGGAACAAAGCCGAGCGCGAGCCCTGAAAATTTTCGAAAAATATACGCGTCGGTGCAATAAAAACGCATTTTTTTTATTATACCGTAATAACTATGGGGATTTAAAAAAGGGACTAACGTGTAGCTCGCAAGAATTTTACGGTTATTCTTATAGTAGTCTAGATAAATTCGAAATGTTTTTAAATGCTTGTAAATTCGTGTAAAAGTGAAGAGATATTGTATGAATAAACAATTTATCGAATAATTTTCGATCGACGAATAATCTGAATGATAAAAGAAAACAATCGCGATGAAGCATATCGTTCTGCCGTAACGCTTGCGTCATCGTCGATCGATTGGCGTTCTATCAAAAATAATATCCCCCCCGAAAAAAAGCGAGCAGCATAAACTCGCGATCGCGCAATTTGAAGTTGCACGGATCGTTGCCTCGACAAGTCTATCGTGACTTAGTTATAGGCCTATTGTTTTTCCCTCGCCTTCTATGCTGAAAATACGAAGCTTCCTCTTCCTTCGCTGCTATTGTAGACAAAACAAAATTCGATTGCACTTACAATCACATGAGATTCCATAAGCTCATCTTGAAGTGACGCTAACACGTTGCAGGAAGATTTCCTTCCGATATTAGAAAAATTGTAATTATCGCAGTCAATCAAGCCGCTTCTCTCTCGCTTGTCTCCGATAATAATGGATAGCCTGCATAAAATCCGATCAGCTGCGAATCGGCAAAAAGTAAGTAGGTAAAAGATATAGGACTGCTTTAATAATATCCATCGAATTATTCGAGCGCGTCACTCATGGCAAGTTACCGCGGTAATTAACGTTTGAAAGTCATTAGTCGCGTGTCTTTGAGAGCTGCCAATAAGCTCCGAATCGCTCGCCCTTGCGCAATTATTTAATCTACTGATACGGCGAGTGTTTAAGGGAAGAGAAACGATCCACCGATATATCGATTGTCCTCCTTCAGTCTCTTATTTCTTCGTTTCCACGGAAGGAAGATGCCGTACTAGGTATTTGCCCGTTTTCAGATGACCCTCAGATGCATGTTGGTTCTCTTTGTCCTGTCGTTGGTCGTAAGCTGCGCGCTTTGCCAAACCTTCCAGTACAGTCGTGGGTGGACCAACGGCAAGCGATCCAATTTTCCGGCGGAAATCTCCGCTCTAGGGTACGATCGTTTCACCAACGGCGAGCTCAAGAGGCTGAAGATGCTGATATACGGAAGCGCCGACGAACAAGTACACAGAAAAAAAGGACATTCTTATTTTGAAAATATATTCAGTTTTAACACGGAAATCTTGAAATGAGATTATATTGCGTTAATTAAAGTAAAATATAATTGCTTGGATAATTGCTTACTTGAATGAAGCCATTTTATATAGTTCAATCGAGAAGTATATATTCTTATGATTTAAGATTTAATTTTCTGGAATGGAAAAGAAACGATGTTAGATAGAAAATAATATTTTTCAATCAAAGATCAGAATTTTCTTAAAGTTAAAATCAAATAATTATATATATTTTTGGAGTGACAATTACAATATTAAAATAAGACTATAAAATTGTTGAAATTTAAGATTACTAAATTCTTCTAGGAAGATTATAAATTGTTGCGTATATACGAAACAATGAACGCATTAGTTTAAGTATACAAGTTTTGATTCGACACTTATTTTTTTCTGTGTAAACTTTAAAATAATGACTTGTTGAGAAATTATTAAGTCGTTAATTTTCTGTAAATCGTACGCAGATGAAATAAGATATCGCACATTCTTTTAATGATAAGATTCGGATAAATCTAATACCTTTCCAGCCGCTGTTGATCCACTGCGATTTCGTGGACAAGTTGAAGAAATTCGCTCACACGGATAATGCCGAACCGGATCAGCTGCGCCGGGAGAAGGCACCCAATAACGATAATTACTGAAACGGATACTCGTTGTGTATCGATCATGATTGTTTGAAAGATGTACTCGGCACGTAGACTTAGTCCAGAATAAATTATCACAGTGATTGTAAAAATCTGTACCTGAAATAAATATCCACAATTATGAGAACGTGTCCGAAAAATCATGTCCTCGGCAAAATTGTTGCGAAATGCTGCATCCTTGTCGAAGGATCCGTTTGGAAAAGGAGAGAAATACGAACGACTGATAAATCGTGGAAGGTGTTGAAATGAAATTCATACGCTGTCGCGCGTTTTCTTCGCCGAGTCTCACCCGACTCGGTCGGTGACGGCTAATTAAGTTTCGCTCTCTTAATTGGACAGTCGGTCGGATAGAATAGATCGCGGACGATCGTCCGCGATGGGTACTCGACACGGGGGGGATTTTGTCTGTCAACGGAAGATGGAGTGAAACCGTGCCGAATAGAGACACCCGCTGAGTCCGTGGATTATCCCTACGGGCAACTTATCTCCCGCTGCGATACAGCACCCGCCGTTTTCCGAGAGTATCGGATGTTGGCGATAAGGATCATTTGAGCGGAAACATAATAAACGGATTAATTTTTCATCGAACCTCGCGATTGATCCAAAGCGATTCCCGTTTATTCGCGCGAATCTCGTCGTTGCACGAAAGTACGAAAGTACGAAAGCCCCGTCGATTTGGGAGACGTATCAACGTCGTGATAATCGGTACGTTCGATTATATATAGGACCGATGTCGATACGACCATCTTCGCGGCACTCAAGATTATTGCTCGACGACGCCGGGGAGCGTGTACGTAACTATTGCACACGGCTAATGCACTTAAAACTTAGCTGTTAATCAGAAACCAATTACAGGGGTTGGGGAGGGGGTGGGGACGGGAACGAGACGAGTTTAATCGCATTAAATATTAAAACGTTCTGACGAATACTCCGCGCGGTCCTCCCGTGTTATACCCGGTGTCTCCGTCGAGTCAGTCATCACGGGGTGGGCACAGTCGCACGTGTCGTCTGCTCCAGCCATTTTCCCATTTGTCTCGATACCCACGGGACGACCGACCAACTACCATATTCTCCGAGCGAGTACTTTGCATCAGGAATCTTGGAGATCACGATGAGAGATCGCGATAATCGAATCGTTCCCCGACAGAGAACTTTTGCACGATAACTTTGTTGCCAAGAATTTTCACCGAATAGAATGGATTGAGATTTTTTTTAAAGATAATTTGTTAAAAAAATTGATATAAAAATGTTCATTTATGTTCCGTATGCGTGGCTTCTCTGATCTAATAAAATGTCTCGTGAAATAATCATCGCGAAACATTATAAATAAGCGAAATTATACGTTCGTATATTTTGCGGCGATAAAGCCTGATGGCCGGCAACTTGTACGGTCTCGTAAAATAGCGTCGATCGCGAAATATACAGCCTGTCGAGGAATAATGTAAAACTTGATGGAACCTCGTTGAATATACAAGACATAACGTGAATGGTGTACGATCCATTTCCGTGTGTCCCTCTCTCGCAAATATTTTGACATATATTCGGTATATAAAATGTATATATAGAATGTTTCTTAACAAGTGCGAAATATTTTAGGAGATGATTCTTTGTCGAAAATTAAGGAGGTTTTTTTTCATATAAACATATACTCTTACATGTCACTCTGCGGAGTTATACTCCTCCAAAAATGAGGATAAAAGTCAGGTTTTTGTTTTTTTCTCAAATTTGTAACAAGTTAAAGAAGTGAAATTAGGTGGATATTTTCTATTAATAAAAAGGTTATTTATTAATATTTTTTTTAACCTCCCCTATTGTTACAAGGGGATGAAACTAGCAATCCCTATTCAATTTTTTATTAAAACTTTTTAATATTTATATGAAAAACGCCCCTAAATTTTCGACAAAGAATCATCTCCTAAAATTATAAAGTCCTTAAGAATAGAGCAATATTACAACATGAAGTGAAAGATCGAAGCACCTCTCTTGAATACATAAGGCATATTCAAAGTTTCGACACAAGAATTGTTTCGTCCCTCGAAATTGACGGAGGATTATCCTATTAATTTTCCAAATTTTTCGCTCGTCTGAGAAATTGAAATACGCTCTTTCCGCACAGATACAAGCTGCGGAACGAATTTCTATTAGCGATAGAGAAGAGAGAAACGTCGGCGCGGTGAAAAGCGGTCCGACGGCTCTCCCCGGATATAAATACATAAAATCGGGCAATCATCCTAAATGGTCGCCTCGCTACCGGATCGGGAGCGGCTGTCGCCTTTTTCGTGCTGTCGTCTGTCGCCTGTCGTTTGTCGCGCGACAAGGGAGCGCGTAGTTCCAGCGCCTCGTAGTTGAAAACGAAAAAGCGCGGAACGACGGAAAAGCGTTTGACAAGTACAATTTCCGTCTCGGGCACGTCACGCTCGCTCGTTGCTTTTATTACTTTCGCTCGTGCCTCTCCTCCACCCTTCCGCGAGGAGACACGTTAACGTTGGCCGTATCGCTCCCAGGCGCATCGGGCGGGACGTTAATTTTCTTGACATAACGATAATATATTCGCTCGTTCATCGTCGAATTTTTTTCAAGAGTTACAAATATTTCTTGCTGAATATATCGTGCTCATTTTCTTCTTTCCCTCTTTTTGTTAAACGACCGATCTACGTAAACGCGAACGCCATTATTCGCCCCCCCCCCCCGGCCTCCTCCAGTCGATGTCTTCGATGATCCGAGAAGGAATAGACCTGATCGCCGTCCGTCTGGCGACGTCTAGCCGAAAAAAGTGACTTCGATCTTAACACGGTTCTCTCGCTCGTTCCCGCCGCAGCGAAACCGCAAACGATCGGAAATAGAGAGACTACTCTCCGCAAGATAGTTGCAGAGAGACCCGTTTTACCGGGCAGGAAATGAACGATGCCTCTCGACACACTGTGTTTTAGGAAACGTTCACGAGGCACTTAACGGCCACGAAAATTGATCGGACACGGGAGGTCGATCATGATGCCACCCAATTGGACGTTCTCCGAAACGGAACCGGAGTATTTCCCTCGCCGGAAGATCGCCGGCAACATTTCTCTCCTTCTCGGAACAACGCATCATTGCTTATTAAGAGATACTTTTTTTTTAATGAAAATATTTTTTTTAGAATATTTTCGGATAATAAAAAAAATGTCCCTTTCCGATGGTAAATTTCGGCGAATTCTTCTCTTTGAAATTATCCGCGAGTCGTAGATATAATTGTCGCTATCCCGCGCGCAATAGTCCCGGAAATATCTCGGGATATTCGACGAACGCGCGTCGCGTTCGCGGATTTATTTTTCATCGGAACTATCAATTTCCATAAGCGCGACTCGTTGTTGCCGTCGCGAAATTGAGCCGCCATTCGACTATGCGGCGGTGAGAAAAAAAAATATAGCGTTCTCTCTCCCTCTCCCTTTCTCTCGCTCTCTCCGTCTTTCTCTCTCTCTCCCTCTCTCTTTCTCTCGCGAAGCGCAATCACAATAAATTTTCTACGCTTCGTGTAAATATGGCAGCGCGCCGCTCATGATTTTATAAACGCGCTCCCCGCGTGTGTCATGCGTGTGTGTGCGCGCGCGCGCGCGCGCACATACACGTACGCACGTACACGCACGTATTGGCTCTGCAATGCGCGGATACGTGCCATACGGTACGGTATTCAAGAATGGCGATCAAACGGAGAACGATGTTATTAACATCGCTTCTATATTCTCCACGGACTCGTTTTATTGTTCCTCTCCGAGTGATCGCGTTGAAAGTTTCACCCCGACGTACCCCCCCGATTGCACCAAGAGATCGACGTGTTATTAACGAGTCTCTCAAGACGAGAGGTCTCCCGTTCCCACGATATCGCGCCGCGCGCACGAAATCAGATAGCTCGACAAAGCGGATAATATTACGCGCTCCCAGGAAATTAACGAGAGTGCGATATAAACTCGTTCTCCAATTAAGCGCGATGAATAATTTTCGCCGCGTAGGGAATATCGTAAACATCGCCTTTACAAAAGTACATATCGGCTCAAGGAAGGAAATAATTGTTGAACGTCATACACATCCGGGGAGAGATGTCTGGATTAGTTTTTAATTTGTGTTATTCCCCCCTCCCCCTGCCTTCTGCCCTCTGCTCCCCTTCCCCCTCCCGCCCCCCGATAACCACGCCGAAGTAATGCCGAGGGTGGCGCGTGCGTGGCAGAGAGAGCGTGCACGAGAGCGTAGATTAATTTCCAGGGTGTGCGCCGATCCGGTCTCGGGGAGGGCACCGAGAGAGCGGTAAAACGACATCAATAATTTGCATAATTTCGCGTCGATTTACGCGTGACTCGCGAGATTACCCCGAGATCCGCGCGCGCGCGCGCGGTGTTTGGGACTTACAATTTTCTCTGGAAAACGCTATCATTTACGTGTTCCATTGACGGCTGGGAGACTGATTACGCTTCGTTAGCTTAAGAAAACGCCAAACGATGAAGACGTTTAGTTGCAAAGTATTGCAACGCTTGAAAACGCGCGAGTTCATTTAAGGCTAAAGAGAGAGAAAGAGAGAGAGGTATGTATTTTCTCGAGGTTTCCGAGGGGGAGAAAGAGAGACGTGAAAATCGCCCCGAGCACTCGTTTAACGTCATTACACAATGATACGCGAGAAAGGCGTTCCTTCGTAGACTGCTAATAGACGTATATTAAGTGGCGATATTTTCGAATTGCGGATTTCCGAAAATTTGACCGAGATTTTTAATCTTTTCCAGCATCTTCGCGTTGCGGTCAACGACTCGTCGTCGGTGTTTCGGTCGCGATAGAGCCGCCTCGGACGTCTTGATACTCGGGAACCTCGTAATTGGTCATCTCCTCTCTCTTTGCCCCTCCGTCGACGCAACATCTACGTTAAAAACCTAGAAATACCAGGTAAAGATCTCCGCTTTTGTGGGACGAGATTACAGGGCGCCGGTGACGCGCCCGGTCCCGATACCTGTCGGAAACGATTCGCTCGCCAGCTCTTCGCGTTAAATACCGGAAACACTTGGGATACTTCCGTCAAATATGCTCTTTAAAGAACATGTAGGCTTCGCCCGCTCTCAGACAGTCATTGGCTTGAGTCATTCGGTGAGTAATTTAATCCTCAGTGAATAATCGTTCGAAGAAGTTTTAAAATGTTTTAATTTTTATCGAGTAATGTGTTCAAATTTTTTTAAATATACTATTCTTATTTTATATTACTTTTATGCTATTATTATTTTATACCATTACTATTATTTTTTTAGATAAATTAATTATTAAATTATTAATTTATTCAAATTTATTTTTTTTTAGAACAATTTTTCAGATTATTCGTAAAAAATTGCGTTTGGCAAGTTAGGTGACGTTTTTCCAGAATATACATATATTTCTAGGATATTAAATTTTTTAATTCAATCGCGAAAACGTGCATCTTAGATCGTAGATTGCACGCAGGTATAAAAAAAACGCAGATAATTCGTGATCCACGAGGACCTTCGTTCCTGATGTACCTTCGTTTGTCCCCAAATAATTGGGCGGGACGGCGCGCCGCATCTTCTCTGCAATTATAGGCAGTAAACGCAGCCACATCCGGCACACAGGGAACAACTCTAGGTAAAGCGGGATAATACTCCACGAGAAAAGACACCGATTAAGGCGATCGGAGAAAAAGGAGTCACGTCTTTGACAAAGAAGGGAAAAAGGTGCGAGCGAGAGGGACCGAGAGGGAGCGAGAGGCAGAGCGAAAGAGAGAGAGATAAAGAGGGAGAGAGAGAGAAAAAAATGGAAAACTGACGGATGCGAAAGATCAAAATACTGCGATCGTACGACAAGGTAGTCGTTTGAGGACTGAAATGACGGAAATCGAGCTTTCAAAGAAGATGTAGGCATTACGTTGACGTGGAGTAATGAGTTCTCGTTACACGATAACCCATCGCGATACTTTCTACGTATTTCTTAAATGAGGCAATTTGCACAAGTGCGTATCGATCTTGGCGAAGAAAATGAAACGTTGTTGTACCTCGTTCCGGGTATTTGTCGCAAAATGTGACATTGTACAAAATAATGAGATCGACTTAAGGAAAACGTATAATTGCATCTTTAAAGAGGAAGCAAGTACGTAAGCAGCTTCTAACTGCACCTAGGGAAAAAATAAGGTCATTAATCGATCCTACTATTTTTCGAGGCAATATATACTTTGATATTTTATATTTTATGCAACAGAATGCATTAAAATGTAAATTGTACAAATTGTCTCAAGTATCGATTTCTTAAGAATCTTACCTGAATACTTTTATACAGAATGAGAATCGATTTATGAAACTTGCATGATTTTATATTAAAAAAGTGTTTGATCTCCTGTAAAATAAATTGCCAAAAACGTTACTTTGATATAAAAACTTGTCGACTACTTTCTTATCAATTTTTTTCATAAAAAAAGCAACAAAGACATCTCAGATAAAAAGTATTCATTCAATTATTCATCTCCCGATTCGAATTTTCTGAACTTTTTCCTACTTTAAAGAAAAATGTTTGCGATAAAAAATAGCTTTTACACTTAAACAAAATTTATTGCAATCGATATGCGATGAAACTCAAGATATGGGAGCATTAGAAAATCATTAAGATTGATAATTATCTATGTATCACGAAATGAATCGCTGGCTATTATTAAGTTAATGCTGAAATTATTACTAATTGTTCCTGTGGTAATAGACGTAATTCCGGGCTCTTCCCACGCAACCAGTGTCGGCGCGGTCGTTCTCGAAAGGATGTTATAATTAGATAGCGAGGATTGTGTAGCAGTTAAACCATTTTATATATGCATTTCAATTCTTTTTCTCGTATATACAACGTTACATGTACTTACATAACATCACATCGTTCGCTATAATAATATAATTACGACTGAACTCTTAATTTAAAAATATACATACCTAATCATATGACGACGACGATCGTAGTGAGGGGTGTACATGTGTGTGTGAGTGTGTGATGTGTATGGGTAGCAATATATAATATAATAATAATCATCATAATAATATTCCGGGATATAATGTGATCTTGATTGCATTTCTTGTCGCGCGTTGCGCGAAGTAATATATACAGGACGCATATAACAATCAAAGAGAACGCCATCGATACGTTGGCACGACAGCGCATTTTCTTGCGTATACAAGTATATTTCATATCGTACAAGTATAATGTCTAATTACAACTATGGCGCCTAATATGTACACAAGATATGTCAACTGTTCCGTTAGGCCCGCATTTACATTTTGACGATGAAAAAATATCTTTATTCGTTAAAGGAAAAAATTGAAAATCTCTTTCTCTCCCTTTCAGCAATATTCATCAGCTGATTACTCGCTAATGCATCTAGAATAAAATTTAGAATTTACCGGGTCACACACACACACACACACACGGGCAGCGTGAAATGCGATGTTGAATGAGGATGTAAATACGGACCTTAATCTCTTCGCTCTTTTGCAATCGATGATTTCTCTCGACGCGATGCGCAACGTGCAGCTTCCCCTTAGAAAAGGATCGAGTAGGTCAATACGGTGGGACATTATCGAAACGTTCGGACACGTTTGACGCAATCTGAAAATAACATTCGGAGAGGATTTCTCTCGCTCTCGCAGCTCTATTTCGTCGAATCGAGACACGGACATGTCGATAATGTCGCATCAACCGGGGTTAATTGCGACAATCTCATCTCGCGAGGAAGAACGGACGCTTTTAATGCGATCCGATTGTTCGTACATGATAGATTCAGGACGATTATCGTGTCGTATCGATGATATATCGACCGCGCGATCGCTTAACTGCTTAAAGTCGTGACAATAATATGGCAAAACCTCGAGCTGCGGCTAAAACAAGCGTTACAGCTCCGAGAATACGTGGTGCGTAAGGCAATGTACATATGTTCGATTTCGCGGTGCTCTTTAGGACGTTCGTGTTCATGGTTGTCGCCTGAATATCGTAAGGCAGAAGGAAGGCGATGCTCTAGAATGTAGCCTACGTCTCGTATAACTATTCTAGAAAAACAAATGAAAAAAAAATCTCCTTTATCGTTACCTTATATCGATCGATCGATGAGCGGAATGAGCGTCCCGTCGTTCGCTAATCTCGTGAAGCAAATGAAGGAACGGAACGTACATTGATCGAAATTGAAGAACGAGCGACTTTGATATCCGACTCTTCGTTCCGATCTGATCTTCGTCGGACGCAGACGAGACGAAGATGATGGAGCGAAGACGATTCACTTGGCGAGACTCTCCCGGAGATCTACGTCGTCGCGCTTCAGCAAATTGGCTCGGCGAGAGGCTGCGGTGGGCCGTAGGGGGAGGCCCATTGACCCACCCCAGGATGGGTCAATGTCGTCGCCGACGACTGCTGCCTGCTGTCCAAACTGGACACCGGCGTGCCACCGGGATGCCCGGACACTGTCGTCGGGTACGCCACTTTGCCGAGGGCCTCGGCCTGCAGGGACAGCATCAGCCGATTCGCGGCCTGTCTCTCGGCCTCCCGCTCCTCCGCCGTTTGTCTCCTGCAACACAATCGAGCGACGTTGTTCCCGATTAATTTGTTAAATTGCTTCGACGTCGAAATCGCTATTATAAGAAAAAAAAATCGTATTTTTCGCGGTAAATCTCTCGATCAAAGATATTTGAAGAAATGTGTCATCTATTCTTCGAGTCGAAATTTTGCTCTTATTTTTAATTTCAATATCTATTTACCATAAACTATGATATTTTAAATAGGATTGTTCGATTATTGAGAAATACACATTTCTATTTTTGATTCGTAAAATCAATTAAATATTTTAGCCGGGAGTTTAATTAACGTATAAATAAGTCATCATGTGTCACGTGCCATTATTAATCATTTATAATCCAGTAATAGAGAAATAGTTTTCGTGCATGGCGTATTCTCATTTCAAATAGTATTTTGTTAATTGTTGATCGATATGTACAGCTAAATCGATTAACGCTTAGCGCACCATCGGGATTAAGCGAGGACGATTTGCGCGGAGCAAGGCTCGCTCGGTGAGAGGAAGCGAGGCGGAGTAAAGGACGGGGAGAAAATAGAGTGGCGGTCGTTGGGGCGGAAAACAGAAGACGGATGTAATAAAGTTAATTCGATTCGTCACTATGGCGAGAAATGGCAGCCACCTTGCCCGCAGGGTGGCTCGCGCGATGTCTGTTTTCTAGCGCTAAGTCTATTAGGGCGCCGCAAAATGGCCGACTCGTTTTGCTAAGGTCGATAGAGCTTGCGCGCGCGATCACCCAAGTGGTAAACAGCAAGCTTTTTTTCATCGTCATACGAGTGTTCATTAAGAATATAATATCTTTCATTTAATGCCATTTTTGCGTGAGAAGACAAATTTTTTCAAGTCACCTGGATCAGTCAGAAGTCTACGAATAAAGGCGTCTAGTCTAAGATTTGCCTGGACGCTGCAGTTTTGACAGTCTCCGAGGAAACGAGCTTCCGTGACAGGACGAACCCGATGGGAGGCGAGCTAATCCCGACGTTTCCCTACGACTAGCACAACGTTCGATCGTTATAATTTTCTAAAACTGGTTCTCCTCCCGGGCGTAATGCCCGGACCTTACTAAAGACCGGTGGCGCGGACGCCCGTGTCCTCCTTACGAATTATGCCGCGTTCCGGCCTATCGCGGCGCAGGTACGCTATCTCGTTGACCCTCTTTTTGCCCGCCTTTTTCGGCCGCGAGTTGAGCAACACGATCCGACAAACAACTTCCTGTAATTTTCTTCGCCCGATACGTATTAACGAGCTACCCGGTGGTACCGACGACGCGGCGATCGCTCGCCGTTTCGAAATTTACCTTTTCGATTCCCAAAAGTATTCTCGAATCTTCATTTATTTTGATATAATTTTATCGAATCGATCTCGTTAACGAGCGTATATGATCTTAATGAGACGCGAGGCATTTTTCTTTTTATCTGCGAGAATTTGCGTAAAATGACATTTAAATCTGTCAGACATTTATAATAAAAATTTAGTATCTTTATTATAATCAATTACAATAAGTATTTTTAAATAAAATAAAATTAAATATTTTTAATTATAATAAAAACTTATTAATATAATTATGCAGTATTCTTTCAACATTATAAAATATATAGACATTTAATATCTTTTCATTTATATTTATATGATAAAAATTTTAAACTTTCTAGATTTCTTTTATTATCCTTGTTGATTCCACAGGATTAATTATTGCGTTTCCAATTGTCGCGATAATCGGAATAAGTAAGAATATGAATCGCATAATGGGGAGTGTAATATAATTCAAAATAGAAACGGAGCGAGGATTTAACGCGCGTTATCGCTTTTATCAGCCGTCCGTGGCGATTGAATCTCTCGCCGCCGCCTGTCTCCGAAATCCATTGCGGCTACGCCATTGCAGCAGTGACAGGTGCACCTACGCCTCTGCAAGTAATTAACGCGGTTAGCGATTAATAATTGACGACACCGTGCCGATTACATTTTGCAGCCCCCGACGCAGCCTCGCCCTATCCACTGCGGCCGGCATAACCATATTCTCTCGCAACCTGGGACACATTACTCTTATCTTTATACTTTAGCGCAGGCTTTCGGGGCCCGATGTAGAGATCGACTCGCGGACAGAATCAGAGAAAGAAGCTCGCAAAGTCACTCTTTCATTCTAATTAATCCGTCATATTCCTCTCGACAATCATTACGTCTATTTTATTAATTACTAAAGTAGTTTTACGGAGAAAAATGTCGTATCTTGACACTATTATAATTTAATAAGATTGCTGCAAGATTATTGAAGATTATTTTGCGATAACGATATAAAATTTTGAATTGTGGGAACTGTCAAAAATTTGCATGCATGCGGAAAAATTGAATCTCACGTGTGAAAATTAATCAAAAAATGTAATTGTATTTATTCACGTAGATGGATATAAATGTATGTTAAAACATGTCGAAAAAGAGGGGATATATATCTGTAAATTATTTTAATTATTACAAAAATTGCGCCGCAAATTCTTTTCCCATATTATCTTTATATACTCTTTCGCCGAATTTGTACCGTAAAAGGTAAACAGATACGAGTTGAAGAAAATCGTCGATGAAACTCTAATCATCTTTAATCGTGACGCATAATGCCGATTGATTTTTCTTCCGCGTTACCTGCTGTATTAAACGCGCGCGATATATCGTCGTGCCTGCGAATCGTGTTTGAACGGTTACCGGCCTGATCCTACACTGTAACCGATGAATGTTTAACGATGCAGATCGGTGGGGTCGAACCGGCCCGGCAGAGATCGAAACGATTCAGCCAACGGATTCGAGAGAACGTTTGACAGTTTAAAAGCCAAGAAGCTCTCTCGCGGAGGGGCTGAAAGAGGTGACGGGGGTGAAGGAAAGGGGGGAAACGCAGGGAGGATTGGCAGTCAAAGCGGCGGCGAAGAAGGGGGGGAGGTGGGGCAGACAGGGTGCGCGCGCGACGGGAGGGAAGAGACTACATTATGTACGGGACAGGGCTAAGCTGTTAGGTATCTGAATTATTGAGGCCGAGTTATCTCATCTCTGCCTACAGTCATCTCGTTACTTTAAACGCAGCTGCACGCCGGACCGCACCGCGCACTCGCGTCGCGTTAAGGCTCCGCGTGTTATGCGCGCTCCGAGGAAGACGAGCGGGCGCGTCCTCTTCGAATTTCTCGATCCTTTTGCTCGCCGAACAGGCTCGAATTCTAATCCGCAGTTTTGCCCTCTGTAGACGAGGTATCTCTTTGGAAAAACTTGGAGGAATTTCTTTCGTATCTGGACAAATCAAGGAATTCTCAGAGATACTTATTGACATAATTTTTTTAAATTCTCTTTAATATTTTATTTATTTATTTTATAAGGTTTTATATTGTAAAGAATACGTAAAAATATAAGCCAAGTTATGAATTATGTATTTATCATAATAAACTATTTTCTAAAATAAGTTTTTTTATTGTATACATTTTCTAATGCTTTTCACTGATATGAAGATACAATTTAAATTGCTAGGTTTATTGCAAATTGAAAAAAATTGAATAGTTTATATGCATTACTAAATATTCTTTTTATTGTAATTAGTGATAAAAAAATTTTAATGCTCTGCAAGTGAAAAATGTTTATTTTACAAAAACTATTCGATTTTTTTCAATTTACAATAAATCTAGCAATTTAAATAGCTTTGTGTTTTTCCTTCATATCAAGAGCATTAGAAAATGTATACAATAAAAAAAACTTATTATTTTAGAAAATTGTATCAAAAAATTTTTTTAAATATTCTTTTTATCCGGAATATTTTAAATTAAAATATTTGGAGGATCAAGAAATTTTCACGAAATTTTTTACAAGGTTTGAGTAAAAGAATTACTTTACTTTGATAAAATAAACTGATTACAAGAGATAGAGAGAGAGAGAGAGAGAGCTTTCGTTGAATAAAAAAAAAGAAAAATTCCCGAAGGCTTCCAACGTCATATCCTTCCCCGAGATTTTTATTTCCGTTACATTTCTTCAACGCGACTCTCGAACGAGAAAAAGTCCGCGCGCGGTGACGCGTTATTGATCGCGCGTATGATTACCGTGTCGTGCGTGCGTCTTTAATTAAAAATGATGTACTTGTCACTCGGGCGTGAAGTTAATTCGTCGTAACATTCTAGACAAATGTACCTGTCACGGCGATAACGTTCCCGAGCGTACTGAGACAGATAACGCGTGTCGTCGGATTCTAAATTGAATTTCACGCTCGCTCCTCTCTCGCGACGACAAAAAACTTCTTGCTCGTCTCCATATGCATATGAGACACGTACAAGATAAGTCTCGGAACTCGCGTCCGTAATCCGAGAGGAGATATAGATCTTGTTGCGAGAAGCTCTTGCGGTTTTTCCTTCGATATCGAGATGTCAATTTATTGAGTTATGCAATACTGAAAATTAAAAAAAAAAGATGGAGAGAGAAAGCAGGTAAATAAAATCAATTGATCCTCGTATTCGTGTTCGATAACGCACGATTTCTGCGAGGTACATATTTTAATAGATAAAAATGATTGCTTCTATGCAATACATTGCATGTATAATTTTAAGTCATTTTGATACCAAAAGTAGACCGGCGAATTGAATAATAACTAACCAAGTCTGTTCGAGACTCGCAATTATCACAAAACGAAATTAGAAATGTTCATATTTTAACGCCACGTCGTTTCAAACCGCACGTAACGTAGTGACAACATCGGCGTAAAATAGCGCGCGTTAAAATTGAAAGAACCTTTGATTCCCGATCTTTTTCGAGGAGACATGGAGTGATCCTTATCGGTGTTGACGACATCGAAAATTTAAATCCTCGGCGAAATTTAATCCTCGCCAAAATGACGAAAGAACGAGTCGTCCGAGAGGTCCATCGACCGATCGTAGCGCGATTTGACGTTCAAGAATCATCGTCGTTGAACCCTCGAAAATCTCTCCGCAGGAACTTTTACCGCTTTATCACCGCACGCTTCGTAGAAAACGATCCCAGGACTCCACAGCGCGACAACAATTTTAGAAATTCTGACGCGGTCAAGGAACGGAAAGAGAACGGAATACGTACGAGACGCAAGGATAAAGAGGGACAAGGAGAATCCTCCGGAGAATGTCATCAGGGCCCGCCGTCTCGCCGCCGAGACGCCCCCTGCGCTTCCTTTTTTATCTAAATGACGTGTTTTCGTCCTCCCTTATCTTGAAGAGACTCCAATACATTTGACTGCCAATGCGTTTTACAGATATACGCGTCAGGCCGCGGCTAACCCGCTATTAACATTCCGAGCGCGGTTTCCAGCTCGCGTTTTCTTCCCTTTCTTCTCCCTCTGGAAGATTCATTCGTCGTGGAAACAATGCTCGGTCTACAAATCACCAACGTTGCCACGGATAAATCGCCACGATTTCGCGTTTACGTTATAAAATATCGCCTGGACTCACCTCCACTTCGTCCGCCTGTTTTGGAACCAGGTTTTCACCTGCGCGTCCGTCATCTTCAGGGACTTGGCCAGCGCCGCCCGTTCGGCGGACGCCAAGTACTTTTGCTTGTGAAAACGCTTCTCCAGCTCGGCGATCTGCAGCCTCGTGAAGCTGGTCCTCGGCTTCTTCCTCTTCGGCGGCGTTCGGTTCTGATAGGGATGGCCGATCCGCCTCGGAAATGCTCCGGCCACTACGTCAAGAAAGAGAAAAAAAAAGAAGAGCTTGATAAACGGACTATCCGAGACATTTCCTACACACATTCTAGCGACATTCTGTGGCTATTACGTCAGCGCGTGTTCCTTACGGTATTCTAAATATAGAAGCCTTTAAATTGAACAGGTTGTCGATACGCGTTTAAGGATATCCTAGTTCAAGTGACACGGCAGGTTTACGTGCTTAGAAAAATTTACCTCAAGTAAGGAACTGTCAATGAAAAATGTCATCGTAAAGAATGTGCCGGCGTTTTATTATTCACGTATGAGCCTTTACGATATCTTTATGATATAATCGATGGCTCGATACGATGGACGGATAAAGTTTTTGACGGATAATATCGTAATTTATGTTCATCGCTCCAACGTTTCTCGCTTAATATCCGTCCGCTCCGTCTTCTATTATGCCTCGATAGCCGGCTATCGGTGTCATTAAGCACTTATCTCCCTTAGCGTAGTAATAGCGCGCGAGTAACTATGCTAAATGCCGCGTGCGAGCGAGTGGATTTGCATACGTAATGAGAAATTGCGCGATATTAGCAATTTCACGAGGATATCGGATACGCAGCAACCTGCGCGCGGATATCGCGAAGGCGAATCGTCCTGCGACGGTCCTGCTAATGGATTAAAACACGGTATCCGAGGAGAATTCGAAGAGATTTAAAGCGAATTTAGCGATTGTAGCTCGACCACTTTTCCGCGATTGTGCACGATTCCCAATTGGCGAGCTGTTCACCTCGAGTTATTTGCCGAATTAATTAGAGAATCGATAACACGGGAATGTAATCTCGCCTCGAGATTACGGAATCGTGTCGCTCGTATTCAACGAGCTCGTATTTATTTTATAAGAATGAATCGACGCACTACTTATTTTGATGCAATTTCGAAGCGAGGAAGGAAGGGATACATATTCAATGTACAATGACGGCCTACATTTTCAACTTTGATTTACTGCTAAATAACACGAGTAATACGCTCCAGGAACCCTCTCATTATGGCCTCCTCCCTCCCCCTTTCTTTGCATGAAGTCGATCCGAGGATCGCGTGCGTTTAAGCGATATTTATACGAATGAATGTCGACTATTCTGTCGAGATAATTCTTTCTTTCTTTCTTTCTTTTTCGACGCGACAAGGGCAACGAAACAAGAGAATTTCCGCCGAGAAATGTACGAGTGGCCCGAGTATCTCTCCTCGCGTTTCGTCCACCGAACTTCTCTCCCGCGTAATTTGCTGCAAAACCGAGGAATCATCGTTATAAAGGGTAAAAGGGCCATCGAGCGAGTATTATCCCATTACGCGCCCCCTTTTTCTCATCCCCCTTTTACCCCGTTCGTCCTTTATCGCCGCTCCTCGTCCGGAAATAGATCCCATCGCGAGCGATTCGGATGATAATTTCATTATCGCGTTTATTCACGATTTTCCCGATCGATCCGTAAACGTCGAGGTGTATATCAGACCCGCGATATGCCAAATAATCAACCGTCCATGAATAATATCTCCGACGAAGATTCTTACAATTAAATATATTGAATGTTAATGAAGGGAAGAGAGGGGAAAAATACCAATTAGTCATCGGCCGATCAATTTTCATTCGATTCCTCGTGATTTGCGAGAAAATGCATGATTTATACGGCATGTAATCACAGCGATCCTCGATTACGCTTCGAGGCACGCACAAACGCACGCATATACGCGCGACATAATGACTACAATTGATAAATGATTCGAGAGACCGCATCGGGAATATTCCCGATTGATTTCTCACAATTGCCTCGCAATATGTTGGCGGCGACGTGCGAGTGGCGGGCAAATTACGATGATACGGCGAGCGCATCATCAAGAAAGAACAGACCGCGCCATATTTCGCTCTCGGTTTGTTTCCCGCGACGACCACCCGCGTAATTCGCTCCTTGCAGCGTGCTTCGACCTCACATTGGCCTCTCACATTCTTATCCCGCTCGCGCGCGAAAGGCTCCTTGCGTCATCGTTCTTACGCTTATTAGGACGATATAATCGCGTAGTGGCTATTATGCTTCGTTAGATTATCGCGGCGTACTAGACCAGCTCCGATGCGGTTTCTTTCTCTCTCTCTCTCTTCCTTATAATCCATTCGTAATTACCTTTGCGGAATGGTCAGACACACGCCTGTACAAGGATTCGCAAAGGATCCGACGAAACTTTCATGACATGAATAAGATGATAGAATCGTGTGACATGAATAAAGATAATTTGTATTTCTATGAAAATAGAAATTTATATTTCTTCAACAAGAAGGATAATCGAACGATCCATCTTTTATCTATCGAGGAAATCTATTGAAGTAACTAAAAGAAGGACAAGAAAGAATATTATATTGATTTATGTTTCTTTTTTATTTTTTATTAGTGATATTTTGCGAGTTGTCTGGACACAGAATTGTCTCAACGAGAGTAAGGATGTTTACTATCGAGTAGTACATACGATCGATGGCGAATAATTAATTAATGGCGTTTGTTACGAGGCGAGGAAGAGGAATGATCTCTGCCAAAGTGACTGGGAACCAGGGATTCACAAAGGATCCGACGAAACTTTCATGAATAAGATGATAGAATCGTGTGACATGAATAAAGATAATTTGTATATTTCTATGAAAATAGAAACTTATATTTCTTCAACAAGAAGGATAATCGAACGATCCATCTTTTATCTATCGAGGAAATCTATTGAAGTAACTAAAAGAAGGACAAGAAAGAATATTATATTGATTTATGTTTCTTTTTTATTTTTTATTAGTGATATTTTGCGAGTTGTCTGGACACAGAATTGTCTCAACGAGAGTAAGGATGTTTACTATCGAGTAGTACATACGATCGATGGCGAACAATTAATTAATGGCGTTTGTTACGAGGCGAGGAAGAGGAATGATCTCTGCCAAAGTGACTGGGAACCAGAGATTCGCAAAGGATCCGACGAAACTTTCATGAATAAGATGATAGAATCGTGTGACATGAATAAGATAATTCTATTTCTATAAAAATAGAAGCTTATATTTCTTCAAGAAGGATAATCCATCGAACGATTATCCATCTTTTACCTATCGAGGAAACCTATCGAAGTAACTAAAAGATTAAAGGACAAGAAAGAATATTATATTGACGATTTTTATCATGAGAATGTCTGGCTCTCACTATCTGCACAGGTTTCTTTCGCCATTTTGAATACGCATCATTTATGTTTCTTTTTTTATTTTTTATTAATGATATCTTGCGAGTTGTCTGGACACAGAATTGTCTCAACGAGAGTAAGGATGTTTACTATCGAGTAGTACATACGATCGATGGCGAATAATTAATTAATGGCGTCTGTTACGAGGCGAGGAAGAGGAATGATCTCTGCCAAAGTGACTCGGAACCAGAGATTCGCAAAGGATCCGACGAAATTTTCATGAATAAGATGATAGAATCGTGTGACATGAATAAGATAATTCTATTTCTATAAAAATAGAAGAAGCTTATATTTCTTCAAGAAGGATAATCCATCGAACGATTATCCATCTTTTACCTATCGAGGAAACCTATCGAAGTAACTAAAAGATTAAAGGACAAGAAAGAATATTATATTGACGATTTTTATCATGAGAATGTCTGGCTCTCACTATCTGCACAGGTTTCTTTCGCCATTTTGAATACGCATCATTTATGTTTCTTTTTTTATTTTTTATTAATGATATCTTGCGAGTTGTCTGGACACAGAATTGTCTCAACGAGAGTAAGGATGTTTACTATCGAGTAGCGCATACGATCGATGGCGAACAATTAATTAATGGCGTCTGTTACGAGGCAAGGAAGAGGAACGATCTCCGCCAAAGTGACCGGGAACTTTTGATATCGAGAAAGGGGGAAAAAGCGACCATCTCGTAAAACCAATTAGGCTCCGTTCTGCCAGCCATAACTCAGCGTTTGACGATAACGTTCTCGATTCCTGTTAATTAACTGCATTTAAGGCATCGCTTGTTTCAATCTGACATTTAAACGTGGGTGTAGACTCGCATCGCAACCAGAAATTAGGAAGCAAATCTATTAAAGGACTAATAATATTTGTTCGTAGTGTCGGTTCGTTTCTCGAAAAATATAACAAAGTCAAGAAAATAAGTCGTACATTACACTTTTGTTTGTCTTCTTGCAAAATTGGATTCGTGCATGATTGCGCTTTCGTGTATCCAACGATATCGTCGTACAAAGTCGCCATTGTTAGCGTGTTTAACGGCGGTTTAGTCGTCGCGATTTGTCAAATGATTAAAGCACGACTTTGGAAATATTTTGCCATCTATGTGTCGATTTCCGACGCTAAAAATTGATATTAAAATAATACTTTTAAAAGGAGAAATTTTTCTACACTTGTAAAAAAGAAAAAATAAAAAAAAATATTTTTAAAAGAGAGCCTATAATTTTTCGATATAAAGTAGACAAATATGCTTTTGATTTAGAAGCGATATTCCAATATCTGATGGTAATAAAATATTTTAATAATATATTTCTAAACAATATCAGAGGTACAATATTAATTATCTTTTTTATTCCTTCTTCTTTATTATTTGTCTTTCATTTCCCTCGCTACGTAATAAAAAATACTTTATATTATTATAATTTTCAATTACATTAAATTTATTTAAATATTAATAATACGAATTTATTTTAATAGCAATTAGATTAATTTTCTTCAATATAATAATTTGCAAAGTCTATATTTCATGTTCATACAAAAATCTTACGTAAAATTATTTATGTAAAGACATATTTTGTTATAATTTAAATATTATTATAATGAGAGAGAAATTCAAAACTAGAATAGAGAGATTTTCGTATTAATAAATAAGAAATCACGAAAAGATTTTGTTTAGAAGACTAATGTAAGGACATATCCGGGGATGGCCCTTACATTATGGTGGTAAAAACAAGATGGCGGCACGTCGCCGCAAAATGATCGGTGTAAATAAACG